AAACTCACTAAATTTTCGAAGTTAAAGTAGACTCCAAGTCTTTGCCCTTCCTTGGGAGGGCTAGCCATACAAAACAATTATTGATGATTTTTAAAAACAAAAAAAGTCTTTAAAATTTGATGACTATTTGTTTTTCTTTCACTCATTTATTTTTTTTTCCTACTAAAAGATAAGTAGGATAGAGATTTAATGAGTCGAAAATAATAACATGAATCCGTTGAACTAAGTTCAAATTGACTTTTTGCCTCTATTCTTCTTCCTGTTTATCAAAAAAATGATATTAATTGCTGTTCAAATTTTTGCTGTTATTTACGTTTTGAAAAATATATATATCTATCTTCAAGTTCTCTATTTTTATATTTTTAAAGATATAATATGTTCAACTGATGTACTAAACAAATAGTGTTTAATGGGAGCTGGTTATATGATAATTCTATTAAAATAAAAGGTGGTGGGTTCAACGGGTTAAGACTATTATGTTCAACCAAAAAAAAATAAAATTCTTCCACCAACATATTGTTCAATAAAAATTGAAAAAAAAAAGAGAGAATACATGGTTTTTTTTTTTATAAATGAATTTCCGAGTATGAAATTGTTTTGAAGTGTAAAATTACCTTTTTAGTTTCGAAATTAGAGTTTGGTTTTAATTCCGTCACTGTAGTTTTAAAATTTTCACTCGAATTAAACCTCGTAGAATGTTAGTCCCATTTCATATATTGCGTATTTTTTTCTTTTTTTGGAATAAATGTTAAAGTAGTATTTTTATCACGTTAAGTTTGCTTTACATATAAGACAATTCATTTACTAAAATGTTTGAATAAAATCAACTGGTGAGGCTTTATTTTTTTATTTTTTTTTTGAGAAATTGGATTTAATAGAAAACTAAGAGCCATGAGTAGCTCGTGGTTACAAAGGTCCCTCCTGGCTTCCATTACAATCCAGTTGGGGAAATCAAGACACCCATAATCCCAAAGCTTCAGAATGAAAAAGCAGCCGAAGCAATATTGTGGGCAGGTTTGTTGAACTCTCTTCGAACATGAAGAAAGGAGACTTGGTTGAAATCTTCCTTTAAATTGCCAATACCCCTCACCCAAATGCCCGGTTCGAGAAGAATGTCATTTTTAGAGTTGATGGATTCGACGGCCATGAGGCAATCGGACTCCACCAAGATATCCTTGAAGCCTAGATGACTCGCCAACCGCATGCACTCCCGGATGCCCAGTAGTTCTGCAATTAACGGATCGTAGTACACCTCAAAGACCTTCGATAGTGTTATCAAGACATCTCCATCACTATTTCGCCCAATAATTCCAATGCCAAACTGCATCAACATTGAATTTTATCACCCCAACCGGAGGGAGGTTCCAATTGGCTTCTGCTTTTCTGACACTGGTGCTGGTAATAGCCCTTTATCTGTTGCCATCCTCCCAGATGCTCCATCTTCAATTTCTTTAATATATGAACGAATCCATTCACACTTGCTGTTGATATCAGGGACATCTCCATGAGGCCTAATCGTGTTTCTGTCATTCCATAGAGCCCAGCGACTGGTGAGGCTGTTTTAAACTTGAAAACCATACTTTTTTAAATAATTAGTTTCTAACGGTTCTCTCCTCTATTAATACTAATTACTTGTTTTATTAATTGTTCTACAATTTTACAATTTATTTTTTGTTTATGCTACCAATAATTTTTATTCTGATAAGAATAAATTTATTATATTTTTTGTTTAGTAGTTAGTACACGTGGTTTTTTGTTATGAAATTGTGAATTTCCATTTCATTAGTTACCTGTTTAACTTTTTTTTTTCCTTTTGACAACAACTATTTAACTTTTTTTAATTAAATAGTTAGTAATTATTTAATTCGAAAAAGAAATTATTGTGTATTATTTAATTTGTTCAAGTGAAATATTGTTATTAGAGAGCAGAGCACATACAATTAAAGTTAATCTACATTTCCAACTAATAATGTTTCTCCTAGTTCTTCAAAACAACAACAATAATAATGTTACTAGTAATTGATGTGATTTTATTATAAAATATTATAAATATTTATTTAATTTATCAATCTTACTTAATTATTAATAATCAATATCAATAATTTTTGTAGGATTTAATTCAATATTATTAAGTAGCATAACAACAAAATTTAACAATATTTTATATTAACTATAACTGTTCTAATAAAATAGTTGATCTAATTTTCTTTTAAGTAATATTATTATTAAATACAAATTTAAAATAACAAATATCAATAAAATAAATTAAAATTTATTATTGTTTTAGTTAAAAATAATATCATACGCTGTTTAGTTAACATATTTGTAATTGTTATATGTTTAACTCTTATAAGGCTGTAATTTTATTCCATTTGATTTAATTTTCGTTCTTGATAAGTAAATGAGACCTTAGTATTTACTCAATTTACGCTTTAATATAATAGATTTCGTTTTTTCTTAATATGAGATGTGAAAGTGTAGATTCGAACGTACGATTTTTTGTCAAATATAAGTATCTTAATCATTTTTATTTTTTAAATATGTACTTTAACCAATTAAACTAAGTTGATGATCTAACTATATATATAATCACCCTGTAAAATCTAACTAAAACATACTTTACTATTGATAATATCCCAAAAAAAAAAAACATGTTGCTAACAAATTTTAAAAAATGGAGTGATTCAAAATCCATCTCATATTGTAAAAATTTTATTCTACCCTCTTATTTAATTTAATCTTTTACATTCTTTATTAAAATTAAAACAAATTGCTGTTCAATAAAATTCTGACAAAAAATATCCCATAATTTACAATAAATAATATATATTTATAATGCAACGTGAGTATAGTTAAATGGTAATTGATATATACTTTTTTCTATTAAGATTGAAATTCGAACTTGTAGGATTTTGTAGTTTTTTCTTCTCATGTATATATATATATGTTACATTGAGTAATGATTTATTTCATACTACAATTTATTATTTCTAGAAAATCACAATAAACAACTATAGGTATCTCAAGCCGAAACGAAAACTATATACATACTTTAAGACAAATTAACAATTTGATATAATAAGACGAGCCAACAAGTAGTTTGTGCGTGGAACGCTCTCATATTCATATATATTAACGAATGTTTGACCGTGTTGATGTAAATATGATTAATTTATAATTCATTTTATTTAGTTTATTATTTTTGTTAGTACGATAAGTAAGGGAGAGATCGAACTCATGATTTATTAGTTATAAATAAATGTCAACTATGATTGAATTAAGTTCTGGTTGACGGTTCTATTTAGTTTATCAATAAATTGATTTTAACAATGCAAATTAAAACCAAGGCATTGTATCTTTATTTTGTAATATATATTAAGGTAAATTTATGTTTGTTATCGCTTCACATAATAAATATGTTGAATAAATAAATAAATAATTGTTATGAGTTAGGATATTAGTGTTAAATTTTAAAAGTAAACAAAATCAACTTTTAAATCCTAAACATAATTAAAGATATATTGATCCTAAACTTTTAACTTCATCAAATAGTATAACTTTTACATTATATTAGTTTTGCTAATTCATACACAATTTTAAAAAGAAGCAGTGTAACATTATTTAAAGCTATAATAATTTGAATTAAAAAATAAATTTTGTATGAAATTAAGTTTCATAAATACAAGAAATCAACATTGAATAGATTTGCATAAATTCACAATGTTACAGTTTTCTCTTTAAAATCCTATTAATATCATTATAGAATTACGTTTTTCTAATTTATCGAACACGTAAAAAAAAAATTTTTTTTTAACGATTATTCAAATCAAAACCTATTATATCAACGGTTTTAAATATCCATCGATACGTCGATATTTCCATCAATATATCCATGTTTTAATAGATTCGACATCGACATAAGGGGTAAATCGACATTTTCATCATAGTACATGAAAGTTGACAAAATATAAAAAAATATCAACAATAATATGAGTTATTTTTAACAAATTTATAAATAGAAAAATATTTATTTGTTAATTGAAATAATTTTTACGATTTTTAAAATTTTCTAACTTTTTCATCAATATCAATCAACATTTTATCGATACTTACATGAATCTGAGACATCAACGGTCGACATTTAAAACTTTAGTTAACGGTAAAAATGGTAAATTTTATGGTGCAAATTATACACCTCACCAAATTTCGGTAAATTTTGATTTTGTTTTTTTTTTCCTTCAAATATAAAAATTGAATGAAAAAAAAAAAGAAGCGAAAATGGAGACGACAAAGTGGCGAGTCGCGAGTGGTGGCGATTCAATGTGGAGGTTGTGCAAGTTGTATAAACCTTGACCGACAGCTGTCTGCCACCCGTGAAACGCCCACGCGCTCTCGTCCACGCGCCTAGACATGGCAAATGGGCTCCACCATGTTCCAGTTCCATACAGGCGATTGCCGGATTAAAAGAGTCCATAAAAGGGATGGCCTTCAACTTCAACCCAATCGTTATATCATTTTCTGGAGACTCCAATTATCTTTCAATTTTGTTATTTCAAAATTTAAAATTTCAACACAATGTTCTTACTTTATTTCTATTTTGAAATTAAATACACCAATCATGACACGATACACGTGTCAGAAATATTGTATGGAATATTTTGTTTTGTAATGTGATTTGTAGTTGACTGGTAATTGTAAATTTGACGAGTAAGTAGTGATAAAGTAGGACGATTATGCTAATTGGAGTGTAAGAACTTGCACGACAGGACAAATGCAACTACTTGTATTGAAACTAGTTCGTGAAAGTTATTAGATATAAATGATCACTGCGCTGCATTTAATATATGTATGATATACATGCAAATTCACTGATATGTAGTCATCTCGTCACCTATAAATCGATCCTCCATAATCAAATGACGTACTTGAAAAGTATATAGAATTAATAGTTGATAATTTAACTACAAATTGATCGATTTTCAACATTCGAAATAACATATTAGATCATGCTCTTGTTCATTTGACCAAGTTAGCTTTATGTTAAATTTGAGAATGTTTTATGTTGATGCATAATTATGGCTCATAAGACTTACCCAATTTGCACCAAATATATTTGACCTAACTTAAAAAATATACAAACACAACACATCAGTGTGGTATTAGCTGCACATTACGATGCTTAAGTCAAATCAAGTTTTTGTGAAGCGTTGCAATAAATAGAGTTTTGTACTTACCTTGATTATGAATCTCACTTATTTATTTATATAGTTCAAGACATAAAGTCATCAAGATATCTTATTATTTTGAACTCTTTAGATTAGGAGATTTCATATCTCACAGCTTGGTTAATCGATGGTCGAGGGAATCTTCCCAATCGGATGCGTCTTTGAGCCGCTCTTATCCATATACCTTGGCTTGATCAATTTTTAGGGGTCCATAGCCCATGGGCTAGTCGACTTTAGTTGGTCAATCGCATATTTTTGTTCTTAGTTGGTCTCATTTGGACAGTGTAGTTCTTTAGGATTCGATCCATTCATTTCATTCTTGTTTTTGATTCGTATGACTTAATTTTACCCTTATGAACAGTCGCAATTTATGCTCCAACAAATATTGAAAATAATGAAAATGATTTAGAATATAAATTAATATTATAATAAATCAGTAAATTGTTTGGTGTACTAATTTAAAAGGTTATATATTGTTTCAAATTAGAAGTCATTTATAATTTTCTCTCTTTTTTTTTCCTCATGTATTTGATTCATTTAAAACTGTAATTATATTATGAGAAAAAAAAATCAATTAAATAGTTTATCCTCTCAACATATGTGTTTTCCAAGTCAGGAAAATTTGTATTATTATAATATATTTTTTCTGTTGAAAAATTGAACATTTTGTGCTAATACGTTACTAACTTACAAGTTAAAAAAAGAAGATTATATATATACATGATCGGGCCAATTAACAAAAGAAAAAAAAAACAAAGAAATAAAATAAATATCGAAATTTATGGAAAAAGACATTGGATTCAAATTCAATATCAAAGTGGAGGCCCGAATGCAACCAATTGAAGTGGAGTAGACAACACGTTTGCGTTTATTTTGGGCCTCATGTCATCGGGCTCCTTTTTGTCGGCATGGGCCAAAAGTACGGGCCTAAGCCCATTTTATTTTTAGAGTTTTATTTTCTTTTATTAAAATACCTTAAATTTAGTAAATATCTGCAATAATAGAAGAATGATACTTCTTAAAAAATATATATATATTTGAACTGTAAACAAAAAGAACATCCTAATCCTAACTTGAGTATAAAACAAATGTTATTGTCCGAATCTACGCTTCTAGACTAAGAAAAAAAAAGTATAAGTGAGGTTTATATTAAAATTTTGTTTCATGTTTTAGTATCAAGAAAAAAATATTTAACTTTTTTTGAAATTAAGAAAATATTTAAACCCATTTCGTAATTTACTTTTACTGCTGACTATTTTAACCAGCGCCAAGTATTTTAAAACAATATAAAAAATAGAAAGTAGTTCTAAAACTTGACTAATTGAATTTGAGAATTAAATATTGAAAATGCAGTAATGTACTACAATATTAAATACAGGTGTACCTATCACCCAATTATTGATTATTTTTCTAAAAAAGGGTGACGTGTAAGCATGTTACGGGTAAAACTAATTTTTAAATTTCCATAGATTGGGTAAAAATAATAAAATTTATTCTACCAATGTTTAAACAAAGAATAATTTATTTGACTTTTTTTGCAGTTGGATTGATAGAGAAGATTCGAGATGGTGAAAATGAGGAAGCTTGGGGCAGTAATGTAATATCGAAATAATCGAGGGGCAAATCTGCGAAAAGAAAGTCAAAAGGAAATTGCCAATGTAAATGTTTTATTCATAAAGACGGGCCGCACGTTACGGTGGAGGTGGCGGGCGAGAGAATCTGTACGTCAGCGGTGGACGGATGGGCTCACGCGACCGTCGGCGCGTGACGCGACGCGGACCATTTTGCTTGGTGGAATAGTTCGAAACTTGGGAGTGGGTGCAGAGAGCACGTGCTCCGGTTTCGTCCCTTCAAACTGTTCACGTGACTCCGCACGAGTCGTGGATGACGTGGACAATTTTGTCGTCTTGTGATTTGACTCCGTCTCTTGACGGGCCAAACGGAATCAAATGCCACTTGTTTAAGGCGGGAAAGGCTGAATTTAACGAAAATTGTCGATTTCGGGTCGTAATTACGTAATGGTCCCTTTGTTTGAGTTTGGACATCTGTGTGAAAAAATATGCCAACTAGTGATCTGAAATTAATAAATTGATTGCAATGAAAACACATTTATTTTTTTTTTAATTTTCAGGGATTGGGTATAATTTTCATCTAGAAGCTTCATCTTAGCAAATTCAATTAGAAGTTACGAGGGTGTACTAGAAATTTCAAATATGGTAATTGAAAATATTTTAAATATTAATTTAAACATACGTATTAATGAAATGATCTGAAAATATTCATCTATATTATCAATCAAAATATTTGAAGTTCAAATCTATTCTTACATGTTATTGTAATAAACAAAAATATAAATTAAATAAATAAAATGTTACTGTAATGAATAGTATAATCTATAAAAATATATTAGGATAAAAAAAAACCAAAACTTAGTAGATATAGAATAGTATAATACATTTATTTTGTATAAGTAGTAAATTAACGTTCCATATCTTATTTAGTAAATTAATGTTCTATGTTTATGAGAGATATCTTGTAATTAATTAAACATTTCGTAATTTTTGCTTTATTGATAGAAAGGAGAAATGAAAGTTGGAAGTCTTTAGCAATCCAAATAAAAAAAAATCCTTGAATATATATCAATAAATATTGTAATATAATATAATATACATGCATCTGGATCAAATTTGTCATCAAAGTAGAAATTCCAAAAATATTTTAAAAAACGAACTAAAAAATATTAAAATAAATGATCAAATCGAAATTTATGATTGAATTTAATTGGTTGCAGTCGGTGGGTCCAAGCAGTGAATACGGTAACGGGGAAGGGGCATTTTAGAAACACAGGAAACAAGAGAAAAAGAAAAAGAATAATAAAAGACAGATATGGCGAGGGAGAGAAATATAGAAGGAAAATAACTCCTTAAAAAAATAATATATTTTTTTCCGGACTCGTAGAGGGATTCAAATAGAGTTAAACAATCACGTTGAGATCCGGATGCCCATCTCTCTCTCTTTTTGCTCAAGGATCTATTTTGTTCCTTATCGTCTTGCTTTGCCCTTCCATTACTTTCTCGCTTAGGAAGCAGATTTTCCACCAGCCAAGAAAGAGAGATAAAGGAGTCGCCAGAAGATTGCAAACCCTAGCAAGAAGTTGAAGAACAACTCTCCCATCATCGTCTCTCTGATTCAAGCCCTATAATTCATTTGCTGCGCCCAGGGACTGTATATTTTCGCTCTAAAGGGATTGGAGTGTTAGTTCGTGGGGTTCTTATACTCGGTGTTCAATCTTTGAGCTTTGTTTGTATGGTTTTAGGCCTTGCAAACCTCTGTTCAGGTCTGTGAGGTGAACTTTGGTGTTCGAATTTGCCTGCCCAGTGATCTGGTTTTGAAGGTAGTTGGAATCGGAGTTGGCTGCGGTGGTGGGCGCGAGGTTCGAGGGTCTATCCTGGTTTTGTGTGTGTGGGGCACCCTCTGTTCGTGGTTGCTCATGCAATTTTCTTGCTTTTCATGCCGCCAGAACCTTTGCCGTGGGACAGGAAAGACCTCTTCAAGGAGAGGAAACATGAGAAGTCGGAGGCCCTAGGGTCTGCGGCTAGATGGAGGGACTCTTATCATGGATCTCGCGAGTTCAACCGATGGGGTTCTTCTGACTTTCGAAGACCTACTAGTGAGTTTTGATTTCTCTACCGATTCTCTTGTTGAACTTCTTAGATCTTAGAGTGCTCGAGGAGGCATATTATCGCATTTATTTTTCTCTCTCGATTTCTTCTGTCTGTTTTTTGAAGGTTTGGATGATAAAGCATATCTTGAAGGTTCCTGTTTAGATTTCCCCCCTTTCCCAATCTGCTTGCATATATTTCAACGATGATATTGATTGTTTTTGTTTTTTTTTTTTTTGAAGGTCATGGTAAGCAGGGTGGTTGGCACCAGTTCTCCGAAGATTCTAGTCACGGGTATGGGCCTTCTCGGTCATTCAGTGACAAGATGCTGGAAGACGAGAGCTTCCGGCCGTCAGTTCCTCGTGGAGAGGGAAAATATATTAGAATCGGTAGAGAAAGTAGAGGTTCTTTTAGTCATAGAGACTGGAGAAGTCATTCCAGGGAGACCAACAATGAATTCACAAACCCGTCTCGAAGGCCATCGCAGGATGTGAGTTCTGATCAGAGGTCGGTAGATGATACGGTGACATATTCCTCTCCTCAATCTGATATTATGAATGCGTCTGATCAAATTCATTCTAAGGACCGTAACGAAAAGGTTGGTGGTGTTTGTGGGTTAGAAAATGGCCCAAGGTCTGATGTGGAGATTTCCCTAAGCTCCACTGAATGGAAGCCTCTTAAGTGGTCTAGATCTGGGAGTTTGTCTTCACGGGGATCTGCTTACAGCAGTTCAACAAACGCAAAGAATGAAAAGGCTGATTTACCTCTTAGAATTGCATCTCCAATAGAAAGCCCTTCTGCTGAAGCTACGGCCTGTGTGACATCTTCTCTGCCTTTTGAGGAGACCGTTTCTAGGAAGAAGCCAAGGCTTGGATGGGGCGATGGATTAGCAAAGTATGAGAAAGAAAAAGTTGAGGTTCCTGATAATAGTATGAGAAAAGAAGGGGCTCTTCTTTCAAGTAGTAGTGCCGAATTAACTCATTCTCTTGGTTCAAGCTTTACTGAGAAAAGCCCCAAAACTTTGGCCTTTTCAGATTGTGCTTCTCCTGCAACTCCATCCTCTTTTGCTTGTAGTTCATCATCTGGTAAGCTTTTTCTTTATAAATTATGAGATGTATTTTAGCATCTTAAAGTGTTTTATACTGGTAATTAGCTTAATGTGTGTGTATAAATTGTGACTAGATTCTCTGTTTAACCTACGTGTAGATATATTAAGTTTTTGAAATCTCCAAGTTTATATTCTCAGCTTGGTCTTTTACTTCATTGGGAGTGGAAGAGTTCGACCCAATGCTTTATTTATGTTTAAACACACTGAACAAGGTTAATTCATGCGACTGGAAGGATTAGAATCTCTTGCCTCTATTTAGTTTTTTTTTTCCCTTCTCATTGTCCTTGAGAATATAGCAATACATATGTGGGGTGGAGATTTGAACTTTTCGCCTATAAAGTAGGTTACTAATGCCGTTTAACGGTTTGGTTAGACTCAGGTTGGTGCATTTTTTTTAAGATTTATGAATGGGGAAATGTGATAACAGTCTAATATTGGATTTTTTTGCATGGCTTGTGTGATGTAAGGCTGTACTGCTGTTCTGATATGGCACGAGATATTATGTGGTGAACTTTTTGCATGTACAATTGAAGGTTTTGAGGGTTGGAAAGAGTAAATTTTGGTTGGAACTGGGCAGAGAAAATTGTTGGGAGTAAAAAGAAAGGGTAGAAATTTTAAGTAAAGGATAAGAAGTTTGAAGTAGTTGATGGAGGTTGGGTTCTGTACACCTATAACGTGATGAAATTGTTTTCTCTTTTGTTGAGACTGCTTATTTCTATTCTGTTGACCTGCAAAGTTCATCATTATATAAAGTATAAACTGTGGAAAATTGGTTTTCATTTTAACTGTTTAATTGGAGCTTAAGGTTTTAGGTAGCTTCTGATTTACTTGTAGGCCTTCTTTTAATTGTGTGTTTTTTTTTGTTATTTGTAAATTATTTCTTAACATTGGTTCTATAAACTTTTTTTATTACATGCCATGCAGAACTCTCTGATTATAGTTTTCCTTATCAGTTGTGGTCCTCTATTCTGATTCAGGCTTGTTTTGTAATTTTATTTTGTAGCCTGTTGGTTTGGCTGTGGTTTTTTGAGGTTGCTTTTTATTTAGATCTTTCTTAGTTAAAATTGCCTTTATGCATACTGAACAAATTTTTTTTTAATTGATTGCCATAGGCTTGGAGGAAAAACCATTTAATAAGACAGCAAGTGTTGATAACAGCACTGGCATTATATGTAGTTCACCTGGGCCTGGTTCACAAAATCAGCTTCAGAAATTCTTGTTTAGTTTAGAGAAGGTGGAGATTAGTTCCGTTGCTAATTTAGGATCATCGCTTGTTGAACTATTTCATTCTGACGATCCAAGTTCAGTAGAATCATGTTTTGGGAGGTCTACATTGAATAAGCTGCTAGCATATAAAAGTGAAATTTCAAAGACATTGGAGATGACTGAATCTGAAATTGATTTACTTGAAAATGAACTTAAGTCTTTGAAATCCGAAAATGGAGGAAATGTTTCTCATCCAAAATCTTGCAGTGGCATGCATTTGGTGGAGAGTGCTATATATTCCAAAGAACGAGATGGTGTCTCTAGTATCCCCCCTCGTCCTGCTCCGTTGGAAATAGTTTCTTCTTCTGATGCAACAGTTGAGAAGATGCCAGTCTGCAAGGGTGACATGGCAGTTGAAGACGTTGATGGGAAGGATGCAGAAATTGATAGTCCCGGAACTGTGACATCAAAATTCAATGAACCACACCGTGTTGTAAAGGATGTCGGTTCTAATCTTTTGGAAACTGATCATTGCCGTGAAGTTACAGATGCAGTTCTACCTGACAAGATGGAACGACAGCTTCCTGTATATGGGCCTTTTGTGGTGGATGAACATAAAACAGTTGGCTTTGGTAACAAACGCTCTCTTGAAAAGAGTTGTACTGGTGAATTCATTTATGGTGATTTGACGGCACGAGCTGATAATGGATCTTCTATTTCTGATCTAATTTTTGCATGTAATAAAAAACATGCAAGTAAGGCTGCAGAAGCAATCTTTAAGGAATTGCCAACAGAGAAGTGCAAGATTAGTTCTCAAAGCACTAAAATTGTCTCCTGCTCAGAGTCCGAGAAGCTACTCAAAGAGAAATTTGCAATGAGGAGGCAGTTTTTAAAATTTGAGGAGAGTGTATTAACCCTTAAATTTAAAGCCTTGCAACACTCATGGAAAGAAAAGTTGCTGCATTCTGTGAAGAAATGTCGTTCAAGGCCTCAAAAAAAGGAATTGAGTTTAAGGGTGACACTTTCTGGCTATCAGAAGTACAGGTCTTCAGTTCGCTCCCGTTTTGTTCTGCCAGGTAAGATGAGTTTTATTTTTTCTTCTTCAGACTTTATAGTCGAGCAAATTCCATGCTTTCTATTCTCTGCAATGAAACTATTGGCTCTATTTGTGTAGATGACAACTATGGTAGTAATTGGAATATTTTAAAAAAGGAATTTGATTGTTAATGATGTGAGGGAATGTGCTCGTGCAATGATTTATTAAGTATGATTGTCTTGTTGAAAAATCAGTTTCCAATTAAAGAAAGCAAGGCCACCTGTACACTTGTGGCTAACGATTGATGGGAGCTGTTCTCTATATCTTGCACTTTATACTTCCTTCTTTTTACTGCTGTCGGTTGATTAAATTAAGAGGTGGATGTGTGACTGGGCTTGTTATGTTTCCTTGATAGTTGAGTTCATTGTGAACCATGGTAAAGCAGACTTTTTTTGGTAACATAGAATGTTTGAGTGTCCATGGTCCATATTATATCACTGACTGTGAAAGCTTCAAAAGATTTTGTGACTGTGTTCGGTATTTCCCTCTTGTGGCCAGAGATCTGAATTCAACTCAGATTTGATTGTTCTGGTAGTGGTTTACTATTTTAACCTCCCTCTCTCTCTTTGCTGCTTTTGATTTTTGGTTGATTGTCGTTTAGTGTTGTTATATTAGTAAATTCGAATCATTATCTTATTCTTCCTATTTTTGGGACATCTATTAATTATAATTTGGTTAAATCAATTACATCAATGCATAGGCAGAAAATGATGATATTTTATATATGTATGTACTTTTATCATTTTATTTCGTTAGCGGTCCACTTTTACTTTTGATTTCAATAAATTTGTTTTTGTGAGTAAATAGATTCAAACTTTTGTCGAAGTTTCTGATCATGATTTTTCTGTTCCTCTTTTAGAGTGCTTGGAAGCCACTATTAATCTCACTTCAAAACTGTCGTGATTGTGATCTGTTGTATATTTAAACACACATTACAATAATAAGTTGATTCTGAACATTATGACATATTGAATATTTAAAATTTTATTTTTCAGGAGCGTGTCAAAAACCAGCCCCTACCAAAGATACTCTTAGTTATTATAGCAAGCTGCTGTTGAATCCACGAGTTAGGCTTTACAGGAATATTTTGAAGATGCCTGCTCTGATTTTGGACAAGAAGGAAAAGCTGGCATTAAGGTTCATCTCTCATAATGGGTTAGTTGAAGATCCCCTTGCTGTTGAGAAGGAAAGGAACATGATAAACCCTTGGACTCCAGCCGAGAGAGACATATTCTGGGAAAAATTGTCTTTGTTTGGGAAGGATTTTAAGAAAATTTCTTCATTTCTTGACCTCAAGACTACAGCAGACTGTGTTGAGTTCTATTACAAAAACCACAAATCCGACAGCTTTAAGAAAAGTAAGAATTTGGAGTTGGGCAAGCAAGGGAAATCATCCACCACTACATACTTGGTAACATCAGGGAAAAAATGGAACCCAGACATGAATGCTACTTCCCTGGACATGTTGGGTGTTGCTTCAGTAATGGCAGCACAAGCAGACAACATTGAAAATCAACAGAAATGTTCTCGCCGTTCGGCCATGGGAGGGAGCGTTGAGTCTAAAGTGTCATGGAGTGCTGACTGCATTCCTGCAAATAAAAACAATTTTGATGCTCTTCAAACCGAAAAGGAAACAGTTGCTGCCGATGTGCTTGCTGGTATATGTGGTTCACTTTCTTCAGAGGCCATCAGTTCTTGCATTACGAGTGCTATTGATCCCAATGAAGACTACAGGCAGCGGAAGTGCCATAAAATGGAGTCTGCAGTGAAACTGCCTTCAACATCCGATATCATGCAGAAAACTGATAATGAACCTTGTTCAGATGATAGTTCTGGAGATGTAGATTCTACAAATTGGACCGATGAGGAGAAGTCTATCTTCATGAAGGCAGTGTCATCCCATGGTAAGGATTTTGATATAATCTCAAGATGTGTCAGATCAAAGTCTAGGGACCAGTGCAAGGTTTTCTTTAGCAAAGCTCGGAAATGCCTTGGACTGGATTTGATGCATTCTTCTGGAGATGTAGGAACACCTGGGAGTGATAACGATGCAAGCGGGACTGACACAGAAGACCACTGTGTTGTGGAAACATGTGGAGCCCGTAGTAGTGATGAAGTTGGCTCCAAGTCAGCAGATGGCTTATCAACATCTGATAACATAAATCGTGAAGAATCTGTTTCTGCTGTGATTGCCAACATACAGACTAGTAGTGAAGTGGTGGAAAGCACAGCATTGCATCAGTCAAATGGTGAAGGTGTCGAGGCTGTCGGAAATTCAGTTTGTGATGCCTTTGAGGAAGAGGATGTGCCAAATCTAGATTCTGATCCTGTCTGTAGTCTCATAAATGCCGTTGCTTCTTCGAGCCATCCAGTGCATGACTATAAGATCGAAGATTTTGCTGACAATACCGAAGCTGGAAGTAATCACAGTAATGAACCTGATGTTCTGAAATCTGAATCTGCTGTGTCCATAGGAGATGAAAGTTCAGCTGCTGTGAGTGAAAACAGAGCTACAGCAAAGCTTGCATTTGGAGGGGAAGAAAAAGCAACCAACACCAATTCTCGTGGTCAAAGTATATTACAGTGCTCGGTTCAGGATTCAACTGGACTTGTTTCCAATATTGCTTTAGATGGAAGGTCTTTGGGACTTGATCCACAAATTTCACGTCCAAACATTTTAAAAGTGGATTCTTTAGAGAAGTCTTGTACCAAGTCTGGGGAGAGTTCTCCTGTTGGCAGAAATTCTGATCATGGTGTCATTAAAGTGGAACCAACGCCTGATCAAGATTTATTGTCATCAAATCTTGTTTTACAGGAGGTTCGAGATGCGCCCCAGAAACCTATGAAAAGTGATGAATATGCTGAACCCCAAAACAGTTTGTTGCACCATGCTGAATCATCAGAGTTTCCTTGCAGCTACCCTTTCAATAAACCAATCATTGAGGACATAAATAGAAATATCAATCACACATATTTTCCTGGTGTTCAAGGGCTGTCAAAGCCAGACATCAGTTGTAACAGTACATATGCTCCCGAGGACTTCTATCTTCAAAACTGTAGCAGTTCCAAGCTGCGTCACCCAGTGGCTGAGCTTCCTTTTTTGCGTCAGAATGTTGAACCGGGTCATGATCATCAGAAAAATGGTTCACACAGTGGCAGTGCTTCAGATTCTGACGTTCCACGGAGGAAAGGTGATGTGAAACTGTTCGGTCAGATACTAAGCCATGCGCCTTCCCAGTCAAATTCAACTCCTTGTTCTAGCGAGCATGGAGAGAAAAAGGGACCTCACAAGTCGAGCAGTAAATCATACGATATGGAAGAGAATATACTGTTACGAAGTTACGGGTTTTGGGACGGAAACAGAATACAGACTGGGCTATCGGCTTTGCCTGATTCTGCTATTTTACAGGCCAAGTATCCTGCTGCATTTAGTGGCTACTATTCTGCAGCTTCTGCTAAAACTGAACAGCAGCCATTGCAGGCACTTTCAAATAGTGGTGACCGAAGCCTTAATGGAGTGGTGTCAGCTTTTCCAACAAAGGATGGAGTGGTTGATTATCAGTCGTATAGAAGTCGAGATGCTGCGAAGATGCGGCCTTTTCCAGTTGATATATTTTCCGAGATGCACAGAAGAAATGGGTTGGATGCTCTGTCGTTGGCGAGTTTACAGCAGCAGGGAAGGATGCTTGTAGGAATGAATGTTGTTGGGAGGGGAGGGATTCTCATGGGCAGTTCTTGTACTGGTGTTTCGGATCCTGTGGCAGCCATTAAAATGCACTACGCCAAGGCCGAGCAGTACGTCGGGCAACCTGGTAGCACTCTCACCAGAGAGGACGGGAGTTGGAGAGGAGGTAATAATGGAGATTTAGGCAGCAGATAGTAGATGTGCACCGAGGGCCCCTGCCATCGTCGGAAAGATGCCCTCGAGAGGCAGATCCGTTGATTTGCCGTGCCTGTATGATAAATTAGTCTTGGTTCAAGATAAAAAAGAAAAAGAAAGAAAAAAGTGGTAGGGTAGGAGTAATTTGAACCAATGGGTTCTGAAAAAGAAAATCCATCTTTTTGGTTGAAAAAAAGAAGAGATTTTAGGGGATTGTAATATTGTAGCAGCTTTTGTATTTGATTGCAACACAGAAATAATCTTCTGAAAATGGGAGCAGCCATAGTTACAGCTCCTCTTACAGGTGGATTCTTCAACTCTCAACTCTTTGATAACCTAACCTACCTGACTTCTTGACATTATCCAGTGGAGGTTAGTAGTTTTGGTCAGCTTCCTTTTTTGACATTTTTCTTATACCTTGTTGTATGATTATTACGGTTTAGGGGTTATTTTGGTAAATTTTGCTTATAATATATAATAGTCAGCAAGATTTGTATTGTACCATATTTTCTTATCTGTATTATTGAGATTATGACTAATGTGAAGAGAATAGTCTTGCCAAATGGGTTAAGTTATTTTGACTGTGGCTGTCACTTTCACAACCAATCAATGTTGGAGAAAAAAACAATTTCTTTTAATCATATATTTAATTGTTGATTGAGATGCATGCTTCTAGTAATTCCTTCTAAACCTATGGGGTTTTAAGCATTTTTAAAAGAATTTATACTAAATGACATAAAATAAATATGTATTTATAAAAATGTCATTGTTTTAAAAAATGTCATGAAATGGTATTTGGTTGGTCAAGTTTAAGATTTATGCTATTTGGTTGGTCAAGTTTAAGATTTATGCTATTTTTGTAAAATCGTCATATGAAATACTTTCAAGTTTACGATAAATTAGGCAGTTTTAGGTAAATTGTGATTTTAAAAAATAATTTATTCTTAAATCACCATTTTAGAGAGACGATGTTAATATTCTAGAACAATGTAATTAAATTGTATAATGTCTTTGTTGTTTATTTTGCTATTTTAGATCTATATTTTACAATATTTTTTTAAGTAAAAAAATAGATTAAAGGTGAGATTTCGACTATTTTTGTGAATTAATCATAATTGTTCTAGTGAATAACAAAATTAAAAAAAATTTTACATAAATTGTGAATTAACAATTTGAAAAAAGTCAACAGATATTTAATTTATAAATTCGAATTTGTGAGTGGGCTAGCAAATTGACAACTGAACATGACATATAATTTCATTAAATTATGTTCCAATATAATATTTTATCTAAAAGCCTTTAGCAATTGGATCAAAATCATTCCAATAAAGTATGCCTGCCAATCAAGTCACCACTATTATAATGATTATGATTATTTAATTATTAAAAATTATGCTTATGCTAATAAAGACATAACTCAATTGTGACATATTCTCACATTGTGATATACTTTTAAAGATACTTTTAGAATTTTAACTATAAGTTTTGAGAAACCTGCTCTTTATTTTTGATACTTGACTAAAATTCTAATATTAAAAAATAAAAAGGAAAACGTGAAAACAGCTACCAAATTAGTTTAGTCTGTCTGTTTAGATTTCAGAAAGGAAAATTGAAATAAACTCGTTGACAAAAAGGACATTAAATTGATATATTTTGGCTAAATTATAAGTTTGGCTTTTTAATTTTTAAGTGGTATTTAATTTGTCTTTATAATTTAAAAGTTTTTATTATGTCTTTTAATATTTACAGTAATATTTATTTAGTCTCTACATGTCTAATAGGACGGGTCGTTATCATTAATTTGTTTAATACTAAAAAGACATACTAAATATGCATTATGTAGCGGATTGATGATTTCGAAGTATTAGATAAATATTGAACTGACAAACACAGTTCAACCATTAGAGGTTTAAATCTCTACCCACCTATTGTTGATGAACTAAAAAAACCAAAATTATAATTTATAGCTAAACTAATGAATATTTAAATCCATTTTCTTTCTACCAAAAAAAGAAAAAAAAATCCTAAAACTAAAACTAATAAAAAATAATAGCAGGTAAGCCATTCTCCAAATTGGAATATTTTAAGCCATTAAGAAGAAAAAAGAGTTGTAATTTTGTAACGACCAACGAGATGAAAACCAACAAATAGTATACAGTTATGGCGTTGTATCAACGGCGGAGCAAAAAATTTCAATATATGAACGTCACGAAGGCTTTCATATGATCCCGCCGGTCTAATTTGCTTTCTGGTACGTACGAATCGTTGCTATGTTGCAATCATTCCAAAGTTCTTCTTCATTTTTGGTGAAATGGAATCTGTTGTTGCTGTTCGTGATGAAGATTGAAGAAGAAGATGATGATGTTATCTGATTTGATGTTCTGTAAATAATATTCGATCAGAATTCGTAGGCCCCATGTTTCCCCTGCGACCACCAAAATCCGGAGACTCGATAATTTTCTAACCCTACAGTTGAATTTTTTTGGTTTCTCTCTCAAGATTTGGTCCACCTTCTTCCTCCCTATCCCTCCGTTCTCCCTCTAGACGTATTCTAATTGTTTTTTTAAAGGATATCGTGATCCATTAGAGAAAGTTCCTCATAGGTGTTGAAACGATTGCTAGTTTCTTGTGGATCTTCTTTATTTCTGCCCTCGAGTCTTTCCCATGGCGGGAATGCTATAAATTTTGAACTTCGTTCGATACGGCGATCGTGTTTTTGGTTAAGATTTTGCGGTTTTGAGATGCGTGTGTTTCATCGTTTATTGATTTTTTAAAACCAAAAATTCCCCTAAAATTTTGGTTTCTACGGGTGAATCGCAAGGTCTCTTGATTGTTTTGGTACGTAATTCGATGAATATGAATAAGTTAATGGAAAGTCAATTGACACGCCATAGTATATTGTGTTTTTTATTTTTGTTTTATCAGTAGATGTCAGATATCTGTTATTTTAATCGCATTTGCGTTTGGGCATTCACCTTTTCTTCTCTCCCTGCGACCAGATAGAGAGAAAGGAGACATATGAAAGGCTAGGAAATGGGGAAGAAAGGGTGGTTTTCTACAGCGAGGAGGGTTCTCAGTCTCAGTTCTGAGAAGAAAGATAAGGTTTGAATGGAGCTGCTTCTGTTAAATTATACTTTCTACCGTTTTGTGATCATTTGGAAATCTGCCCTTTAACTTTATATATATTATTCTAACAGAAACAAGACAAATCCAAGAAAAAATGGTTTCAAGAGGAAGAGCAAGAGAGTACGGATGTGATATCCTTTTTGGAACAATCCCCATCGGATGTTCCTGTACAACCTCCTCTTATAGAAGATGATGTCAAACAAACCCAACCAAAGAATGAACGAAGCGTGTTCGAACGCTCCGAGGATGTGGAGCCTGCTGTCAGTGCAGCTCAGCCGGATGGGGAGGTTGAACGTTCACCTAGTATTATCTCCTGTCACCCAGAAATGTCGGAGGAAGATGCAGCTATTATGATTCAAACTGCTTTTCGTGGATATACGGTACCTTTATACTCCAGTTTACACTTTACATTGAAGTAGAAGCTTTTTAAGCGATGGGAAACATCAGTCACTGTTGTTAATAATACATGAACATCATTTCAAGATTCTTTGTTGTTTAAAAAATGTTTTCGCCTATTGTTACTTTAGAAATTTATAGAATTCAGAACTTATGGATCGGTACTGAACATGGGCTGATCCCATTTATTTTCTGTACTACGCTTTTAATTTGATAGCGAGTTTGTTTTCAATTATTTTTTTTAAACTATGCTTGACCTCACAATTTCATTGGGATGGTTTTCAATTTCTTTAAAAAGACACCTTTCAATTCTGAGCAAAATTTAAAAAGAACAAATTTAAGCTACTTTTTTTAGTTTTTGGCCTAGATTTTTGAAAACGTTTGTGAAAAGTGGACAACAAATCAACAAGTAGTGTTTATATACTTAATTTTTGGTAACAAAGTGATTATCAAATGGGTCTTAGCTTTTAACTTTTAAGTAGTTAATTGTTTCTTCAAAATAAATTCTTTTGGAACGTATTAGCTTTTAACTTTGATTAAGTACCGGCTGAAAATATAATTTGTACATAAGCCAAGGGGCTTATTTATATTGTTGATGTGGTTTTCAATTGGCAGAAGAGAATTTTAAATGTGGAATTTCTTATTGCATATATGTTTCTGTTCCTATCCAAAAACTTCATGAAAGCACTCCTCGGTCTTGTTCAACTCTGTCCTGGATTTTAGAAGGATTTCTTCTGCTGTATATAGGAAGCATTAGTAATGATTTCAATTTGCATCATCAGAAATGAGATGTATGAATGATTTTTTCAATCGTCAATACAGGCAAGGAGAGCATTGAGGGCTCTGAAAGCGTTGATGAGACTGAAGTCATTGGTACAAGGGCAGTCTGTCAAACGGCAAGTGGCTTCTTCTTTAAAATCCATGCAGACCCTTTCCCATGTACAGTCAGAGATTCGTGCTAGGAGAATTAGAATGTCAGAAGAAAATCAGGCTCTTCAGCGGCAACTTCGTCTTAGACGCGAAAAAGAGCTTGAGAAGTTAAAACCTACAGCTGTAAGTTCTCTTTGTCCAAACTTTTTCGACAGTGTGTAACCATGGTGTCTACCGGGCTTGTACAAACAAGTTTGTCGGTATGAACTTGTTGACTGTATTATATGTGTATGTATGAGTACATCCATACATATAATGCACACATGAATACATCCATACATATAATGCACATACATTTGAAGGTCCAACTATCATCATGGAGAGAACTTTTTCTTTTTCTTCTTAGCTTCTTTTTGTTTAAGAAGAAAGTATCCAAATATTGATCCTTGCATTTACTATATGTTTAAGATATCTGTTACTTCGCCCCTCCTTTCCGACTTCTGCATTTATCTTAGAAAAATGACAAAAATGTGGGATTGAACTTGGAGTAATGTAGATGATGATCTGTTTTTGTTGAAAATAATGGTCTCTTCTTTTGATCTTTGATGTCTTCTTTTCCTGTATTCTTACCATTATAACTTATGCTACAGATGGACGAGGACTGGAACCATAGCACCCAATCTAAAGCACAAGTTGAAGCTAAACTATTGAACAAGCAAGAAGCTGCACTAAGAAGAGAAAGGGCTCTGGCTTATTCTTACTCTCATCAGGTACTGCAATTTCATCTTTTCTTTAGCCCGTGATTCTCAACTCTAGATCACGTCTTTTCTTTAGCCCATGATTCTCAACTCTAGATCACAATGTGTATATTGACCCAAACTTTCTAGAAGACACTTTACCTGGTGAATTAAAGGGTACTTCAATAAGTACATGTAATCCATGAGATGTTGCTTTGCTTGTTCTTCTTGCTTGACAGTATTACTCGCACACCATTACGTAATCGCTGTCCTTCTACGACTATGTAGTGGCATTATCCATCATTATGATTTCTCTTGAATGTGTTTGTTTGGGGGATAGTTTCTAAAGGAGTTAGTGGGATCAATAGCACTAGTTTTATTTTATAGATACAAGGTGGCTTTTAGGAAGATTGTTGTGGGTACCAATAGCTACTCCTTACCGTTTGTTATTTTGTTTTTTATCCAAATGCGTAATGCTCATAATAGGTTTGTTTCTCTGAGTTCTGTAAGTAATAATTTCATCGTAAGTAACAATCCATTTTAGAATGTTACATGTATCTCTTATTACAGCAAACATGGAAAAATTCTTCTAAAACTGCAACCGACCCAAACAATCCCCACTGGGGTTGGAGTTGGTTGGAGAGGTGGATGGCAGCTCGTCCGTGGGAAACTCGAAGCATCACTGATCACCAAGATAACGTCTCTGTCACGAGTATGGCAACTCGTGCATCTGTGGTCGACATAATCGAAGTTTATGGTCGTCGTGATCAGAACCTTGCAGCCCAGTCTTCCCCAAGGACTCCTACTAGCCATAAGTCAAGCCAACTGCTTAGGCAACGGCCACCTTCAACTCTGAAGGCATCATCTTCATCTGGCAGACAGAAAACAAATTCGGCCAACCTGGGATTAGGTAGCTGGGGCGGTGATGATGACTTGAGAAGCATAGCGAGTGACAAGGCAAAGCTCTCCCGGAGGCATACTATTGCAGGGTCATCGTTCAGGGACGACAAGATCCTTGTCAGTTTACCTTCAGTTACAAGTTACACGAATATATCGAAGGCTGTGAAGACTCGGTCCCGGTTGGCAAGTTCATCTGGAGCAGAGAAGAAAGGCAGTACATTTGAAAAAGGGTCTGCAAGTGCAAATTCTGTAAAGAAGCGGCTCTCATTTACCACTTCCCCCGCTAAACCAAGAAGGCTATCAAGTCCTCCAATTGTGAATGCTTAGCCAAGAACATTAAAAGATGTGAAAGTTAGCAGCAGAGAGAGTGGTAATATCAAAAGGAAAGGAGGAAACAAATTGATTGATCATCGAGTTCGTCAAGTTCATCGATTCGACTAACAATCCATACTTTCACCATCTGGTTTCTGGAACAGCTTCTACTTCCCCATGTGAGTGAGCAAATATATATGCTTTTTTGCGAGCACCGAGCATCGGTTTTTCGAGTGTCTTTCTTTAACTCTATACCATTGCTCTTCATGAAATTCTTGTTTGTATATAATACTAATAAGATGTGATTCTGGTGGCATTTATCTATTGAAACCATTTGTAAATCTGTTTATGATATTGTGAGTGAGGATTCTTCTGGGTTTTGTTTTAAGAATAGTTATTTTGACTGTTCATGTTGAATCCTTCACATTTCATTTGTTTAAAGTGAGGTAACTTTTGAAGTTGAAGCTTCTTCTTTCTCTATGGATTCTTCAACACCTCTACCTTCTGGTCTTTTGAGCAAGGAATTTTCCTGTGAAAGGGTACTCTGCTTTAATTTTAGTTCCTATTTTGCCCCTGTGGTTTATTTAATTAAAATTGTGATTTTTTTAATTATTTCATTATTTTTACATTTTTTTGTTAATTAAAAGAATAGGTTACGTCAAAAAAATTATAAATTATAATAACCACGCTCATTATTGGATTGGGAGGGGAGAGGGAAAAAATAGAAAGTTACATTCGTTTTGTCATTAAATGGTGTCAAGATAAACTAAATAAATTATTGGTCATTATTGTAACAAAATAAAATAAATAAATTATTGGTCATTGGTGTAATAGAATAAAATAAAATTTATTATTTAATTAAAAATAATATTAGCATAACTTGTAATTAACTAGACATAATAAAAGGATATTCTAATAATTATGATATGAAATAACATTTCATTCCGATTTTTAATAACTAAACGAGGTCTATCAAATTTATTCTGAAAATTATATTAAATTATATTTTTGCCGTTTTTGAAATTTTACCCTTCATTTGAAGTGATTATTCCAACCTACCATTTTTAAGCAAAATTATTATTAACTTCTAATTATCTTTTGTAGTATCGAGGTTAATATATTAATAAACTAAATTAAAACTCGTAATTAGACAAAGCCGTAGTTGGCATAAAATTGTACAAACAAAAAGAAAAAGACATAAAATTATATAATTCGCATGAGATAAGGATAAAATTGTAAATTTCGGACGAACACACTTTTAACAGAAACGAGAAAAGCCAACCAATTTCATCGACCTCGCCTGAAAACCTTGCTTCGCCATTGCAATTCGAGAGCTGAATCGGGTTCGCTTCTGAACAAAGGGATCCGGATTTCTGAATGAAAATCCACATTCTCTCGTCAATCACTGGAAGTTCACTCAAATGGTGAGCAAAATTTCTCTCTCTTTCTATGTATCAGTAGGTTTCATTCGGCACTGAGCTTCAGTCTGAAAGCTTTTGATCGCCTGTCTCCTTCGTTTCCATGTTTTTATGCTCTGTATATGTCTTTAGTTTGTAAATTTTTGGATGGTGATTTTGATCCTTGCGGAATTGGAGTGACTTATTGAATTTTCGTATAAATCATTTCAGTTTTGCTCTTGAAATTTTCTAGTGAAGATAGTTGATTAAAGTTTCGTGTCGCGGATATTTCCTTAAGAGCTGATTTCGGCCAGTTTTTGGTTTTGGAGCCCTAGCCAAAACATTTTCATTGACGATTTTTCAAGGTTAAGCATCCCAAACTGTTAATACTGATGATAGACTGATAGTAGACTGTTTTACAGCATTTCTCTGTTTTTGGTAACCTAGACTTGGAAAATGCTCCATTGTTCGGCATTTTGCTAATAGGCAGTACTGCAAAATTATCACAATATTGACCAGGATCGCGGAGAAAATTGATAGAACTTGATATTATTCATCAACAAAGAGGGTACAAAGTCGGGAAGGATTAAAGAGCTCCTCCTCCCCCAGACTTATACTATCTCAATACCTTCTTTCTTATTTGCATCCCTAAATAAAACCCCATTGCTCAATACTCTCTTACATCACAAAAGTGTGCCTCTCCTCACTAACTCATAATCTAAGCCCTGTTTTCTTTACTAGACATTTATTATTAGTGGCCCATTATTAAAAAAAAGGTTGAGGGGTACCAAGAACTTTTACGTAGTCATTTGGATTTGTAAACGACATTTGTGTTGATCTGCGAGTTCCAATTGCATGTCCTGATGTTGTTATAAGACTAACAAACTTCTAGGTGTGCATTAGGCCACACCATTCATCGCAGTAGCTGCTGCAGCACTTGCTGGTAGATACGGAATTCGAGCTTGGCAAGCATTCAAGACTCGACCAACACAACCCAGATTACGCAAATTCTATGAAGGCGGTTTCTACCCTACGATGACAAAGAGGGAAGCAGCTCTTATTCTTGGTCTGAGGTAGTATTCCAACATACTTTACTTTCTTCTTCGTAAATAACCAAGGGAGGTTTTTCTAGCTGCTGATCTTCCGTTCATTAGTAATATTGAGGTATTTGATTTTGGCATTGCATCTCATGATCTGATTTTTTTAGTTCATAATGTGGTGCTGTTTACTCGAGTGGTAGGATGAATCTTAACGAAATGACATGCACTATTCGTCATTACCTTATGACTAGACCATTCATGTTTACAGTACAGAACTCAATGAGTCAATTATTGCCCAAACACGGTCATTTAGGAGCAATTTTCATCCTTTCTAATCCTTCTATTTAGGTTCAGCCTTTGATTAACGTTTCACTCTAAGAAGTATGAGAACATTTGCTTCTTTATCTCTTGTTTCCCTTCTATCTCACTATTGTCTTGAGGAATCCTGGAAAACATTAAATCTAGAAATTTTGTTTTAATTACTAGAAAAAACTTGACATCTTTAGCAATGTCAGCTTCCTCGTATTGTCCTTATTGTCGGGAAGGGAAAAAAAAAGACCACTAGTGGCTCTAACTAACTTTTCCAACATGAACATCTGGCTGAATGAAATCACACTGTGGAGACATATCTGTCGCATTCCATTAAGAGGATTATTCCGCAGGAATTGAACGAAGTTATCCTTGATTGTTAACAGAGAGAATGCGACTCCAGATAAGATTAAGGAGGCACATAGAAGGGTCATGATCGCGAACCATCCCGATGCCGGTGGCAGTCATTATCTTGCTTCTAAGATCAATGAAGCCAAGGATGTGATGCTGGGCAAATCCAAAGGCAGTGGATCGGCATTTTAATGAGGTGCGCTGCTTGAATATTAAGATCCCTGCAAAAGAAAGTAGAAAAAGATTTTATTTTCCAAATGAACTTTAAAGTTTAAACAATATGCCAAAAGCTTCGCTCACCAATCTATTTTGTTTCCTTTAGTCTGAAAAACAAGATTACAATAGTTAGACTTGAAGTTAGAAAAATAAGTACAGTATTTTCTTTTCCTTATCATAGATGGATTGATATTGTATTCTAATCATTGGATTCTCAGAAATCCATTTGGAGAATACTATGTCACATTCGTAATGTGTCAGAAATAGTCAATCACAAGGATTGTTTTTTACTATATTAATTCGAATTAAACATCTTTGTTGCTTTGATCGGACATCTTTATATTATTATGACACTGTATTGCTTATCTTTTTTTAGTTCGTTGAAGGTTCATTTTGGTCGAAAATATATGTCTTGAATCTCTTCTCTAAGATATCTTTTTAATGGGCTAATCATCTTTCTAAGCAACAATTTACGAGAGTTTGTCCTCCATCTCTATCTTACTGTCGAATTTGAAACCAAACTCTTTTGTTTTAGAAGTTCTTCCAAAATCATCTTATATGAGGAAAAGAAAAACAAAAAAGAGCTGTAGACCTTTTTTGCTTTGGTGCTTTTAAGATGGGGTTGAGGTAACTTTGGGGTAAATTGTAAAATAATCATCAAGCGAATAATCTCTCTTTTTTACATTTAAAAAACCAATTATGATAAAATAAAATTAATAGTCATCTTCTATACATTTTAACATATCCATTTAGACCCGATTTACTTAAAGTAAAGGAGATTAATTCTATCAAAAGTGACGAATTATGTAATCACAACAAAATTTATTAAACAATTTTAGAATTGAAATAAAAGTGCATTAATTTTGTTTATCAAAATTCGTAAAATGGGTCCATTTAAATTAAATGTGAGACCCATCAGAAAATAGAGAAAAAAATAAAAATAAGACTTTATTGAATTTAATAATTTAGATTCTTTTCTTTTCTTTCTTTTTCTTCTTCTGAACACCTTATTTTCCCAAATAAAAATGAATGAAAAAGTTTTTTTTTTTAATTTAACAATATGTGGGGTGAGAATTCAAACTTCTAGTATTTTGGTCGAGATACATTTGTGCAGGCTTTCCTCCCCCAGTGCATTCATTTCTTTACTAAATTACGGTTTAATTCTCATGCTTTAATCTATTTTGACTTGGTCCTCGTTTATTATTGAAATATTTTATTACCGTTCTTACCCTTTGATTCAAGTGTACCACACTTTTTTTGTTTTAACTCTAGAAAATATGTGTGTATCACGTCTTTTTTTATTTTCATTTTAATTTCTTTTAATTCAAACAAATGTGGGATGAGGATGAAATCTTCAATATTGAAGAATATAATACTTGTCTTTTCTACTCAAATTTGTTTAAATTAACCACACATCGCTACTAGTAATAAGGAATAATAAGAGTTTGATGTAACGATATAGTCGTTGATATATTTGAAATGAAGACACGTAATGCACATTTTATCAATATTACACAAAATATTTATCCTAGCTTTATTCTATATTTCAATTGAATTAATATTTTTAAATTTAATGAAAATTATTATTTTCAACAAATATGACTTAGACTCCCGTATTATGTAATATAAAAATAACAAACAAAAAAAATTTGCTAAAAGATATCATAGCAAATAAATAATATAAAACTAACCAATTTTTGTTTGGTTCAAAAAAATATAAATTGAATAAAAAAATTAATGCATGGCCGAGACACATACACCACTACACTAAAACATAATATTTATTACGAATTCCTTCGTAATATATAATAAACTTAAAATTGAAGGGCCCAACTGAGCATAGTTCAACCGTGGCCACTGAACAAATTGAAACGAAATAAAAAACTTAAAATGATGGGATTAAGTTTGTTAATTTAGCATTTTTTATTTATTTTTATGCTATGTTTATAAATTAATCTATTTGTACCTCTCTGTATATAATATATTTGTTTTCTTGTGAAGAATAAATCACTTTTTTTTTTACTTTTTGATATAAACACACACACATATATTCCGAAACGTTTCTACGACCGCACATAATCAATAATTAGCTCAAATAATTTAATTAAAAACCTTTTTAAATAATCGCAATCAATATATATATATGGACAAAGAAAATGAAAATTGTTATTTATTTGTCCTCCTTTGCACACCGCTCGACTATTTATAATCCGAAGTTTTCTTCAAATTTTGCCAAAGCTGCAATTTCCCGAACTTTATGGGAACATATTAAAAATGAAGAAATGTAGGGACCAAATGCAAATTATAAAAGTATTTAAAAAAAGCATTAATGAAGATTTGGATAAGTATTGGAAATCCTCCGATTTAAAAAATTAAAATATTATTTTGAGCGAAAATTCGGACTGAGAGCCCAAAGTTCAAAGGTCTCTTCCGACCAATCCTACAAAGCCCTTACGTCAGCTTTTATCCCCTTCCCCCTTCTCGGTTCTTTACCAATTTAAGAATTTCCGAAAATATCAAATAAAATCAATATTCTTCACCATTTCCATAAATAAGAAGTTATATATATAAAATAAATGTTGAAAGTGAGAATAGCAAAGCAACATATGTTTTGATTGAAGAGATGTTTATATATATATATATATATATATATATATAAATATTAAATATATTTTCAATTAAGAGGTTGTGAATTCAATCACTTCATCTTTACACGTTGTATTAAAAAAAGAGAAAATAAATATATATATATATATATATTTTGTTACTAAATATTTTATTAAAATGAATTTCAAATAATTTATTAACTTTGTTACTGTTTTTACTAATTAAACTATTGTTTTTGTGAGGAAAAAAAAGTAATTTTTTTTAGTACAATATTAAACTTATGATCTTTTTAATAACTTGTGTGGCTTGTGGCCTCAAGGATATTCCTTGAAGTTTTGTGTTCAAGCCGACTAAAGAGTCGACTCATGGAAAATAAAAAATATTTTTTTTTATAAATGATTTAGTTTTATATTTTAAAAATTTGGTAAGAATTCAAAATTTACAAAAAGAAATTTTATTAAAAGAAAAACTAGGAATACAAAAAGTCGATTATATAGCAATTCGTACGGCTTTATTACTATACAAATTTTAAAGACCTAATAATAATTATTATTATTATTTATTTTATTATTATTATTATTATTTTATTACAGGACCTAATTATTATTTGCTAGAAGAAAATATAAAAATTAAAATAGGATAAAGTCCAAGAATCTGAAATAATAATATTTACAATTTACAACATAAAATGTTTATTTATTAACAAAAAAAAATAATGTAACAGTGTTATATTAAAAATAATATAATAGTTTTGATAAATAAAATTGAAAAAAAAAATGATAGGCTTTGGCCTTCCAGTCTTCAACTGCTGGTTCCTCCTCCTTCTGCTTCGTCTGCCACTCGTCTCTCTCGGTTTCGAACAAAGCAAAAAACAAAGCCATTCCCCAAATTCCACTCGCCTCCTTCTCGAGTTTCTCCGAACTCGGCTTCATTGGCGAGCTAGAACTCTCTCCATCTCTGTTTCTTTCTGCACAAATGGATTGTTCTTGAGCCCCCCTGCCGAAATGTGTGATACGCATCGATTTCAACTCCGTTTGTTTGGGTTTTATCGGTTCCGGATTCAGCAATCGCGCTCCTACTTTTGTCTAATCTCTTTTCTCGCTTCCACACACCGCCTGGTAATGCTTTTTTCTGCTTTCTTGATTGAGAATTTCCATCTATTTTGTGCTTTTTTTCCCTTTTTGGTAATGCTTCTTATGCGTGTTGGTGGTGTTTGGATGACTGGTCTCTGTGTAGCAGTCCGGCGATTTCGTTGAAAGTTTGTGTGGTTTATGAGTTGTTAGTAATGGTGTCTGCTAATGACCCAATCGAATCGTTTTTCAACTCGATTCAAGTTGTTAAAGAAGCGCTTTCCCCTGTCGAATTGGGCTTCCGGAAAGTTGCGAAAGATCTTGAGTATTGTCTGCCGGGACATAAGAATGAGGAGAATTTCATTAGATTGATTTTGCGACCTAAGGATGAGGATAAGCAGAGCAAAGCTGAGATCTATGGTGCGAAGAAGCGGGGTTCCTGTGGCGCTGGGGATAAGCGGAAGCAAGGGTTATCGATTAAGGTTCCAGTAAAGGCTCTCTTCGGAAACTTTGCACGGAATCCGGGGAATTCGGAGGTTTCTGAGAGCGCATTGAAAGAGGAAGATTTCGCTAAGGAGGAGGCCTCTTGTGCAAACTGTTTGCAGTTTGCACTCTCGTGGTCTTTGTTGGTTAACAATGTCGTTCAGGCACTTCCCCGTCCTTTTAAAACAATTAAGAAGCGATTACAGAAAACGGATGAGGAAGAAAAAGTAGGTTTGTGCAGGAAGCAAAAAATTTCACGTGAGTCAAAACAAAGGGAAATGGAGAGACAACATACTAAACCATTTCAGGGAAGTTTGACGCATGATGATGGAAAACATGTATCATTTGAATGCTTAATAGGTTTTGTTTTTGATCGGTTGACACAGAATCTTCATAAGTTCGATCAAGATGGGGCAGGAAATCTTGATAAGAGCTATGATCCTCCTCCACAGTCGCCAGTGGCCCCTCAGGTTGATCATTTCAAGGTTGTAGCAAACATTTGGGAAGGTCGAAAGGCAGAAGTAAATGGGTTTTTCGGGAACTTGCGTTTTGCAAGAGTTGGAGGTGCTCCATCAGGCATAGTTGGAGTCACTTCTTCTGTGAACGAGGGGGATGATGGGGTTTCTGCTCAGAATAGGGAAGAAACTAGTGGCATTTCACCCCAGAAAGTGGCGAGTGGTATTCTTAGCATTCCTCTTTCTAATGTTGAACGCTTGAGATCCACATTATCTACAGTGTCATTGACGGAGCTTATCGAGCTTTTACCACAAATAGGGCGGTCATCTAAAGACTATCCAGACAAGAAGAAGCTAATCTCAGTCCAGGATTTCTTCAGATACACAGAGGCTGAAGGTATGTTCAATCAGTTTGCTCATTCTTATGCGTTAAACATTGTGTTTTCACGTTTAAAGCTATTTGAAGTAATTTTCTGGCCATCGTATCATTATGTTTTGATTGAATGATATATATGCTTTGAGCCTGCTAGCTCTTACATTTCTCAATCACATTTTTCATTTTACTTTCATCCTAGAGTGAGGAGATAGACTTGTATCAAGGAAATACATGATCTAAATGATTGATCAAGAACCTGTCAACTTTTACGTTTCTCTTCTATTAAATTAAGCTCGTGTACAATATTTTACTGAGGTTCTGTTTTGTCACATCAAGGAAGGCAATTACAGACCATCTGCGATGACAAGTGATGAGCTCCAATAGTCATAACTGAAAAAATTGATGTAGTCTGTCTTTTGATATCCTCAGTACCTTTGTGTGGAAATTGGATATTGTCGGGGAAATTTCGACTTCTCCCTCTCCCTCTCCCCTTCCAGTTTCGTTTTCTTCTTTCTTCCATGTCTGGTGCATTGCTGTTACCATTCTCCTATCATCACTTAATTTTCCTCGTACTTAATTTGAGGAAAAAATGTTACCAATTTAATGCACTTATGCAGGAAGGAGGTTCTTTGAGGAGCTGGATAGAGATGGTGATGGCCAAGTGACTATGGAGGATCTTGAGATTGCAATTAGAAAGAGAAAATTGCCCAAACGATATGCTCGGGAGTTCATGAATCGCACAAGAAGTCACATATTCTCGAAGTCATTTGGTTGGAAGCAATTTTTATCCTTCATGGAACAGAAGGAACCAACCATTCTACGTGCGTATACTTCTCTCTGTCTGAGCAAGTCTGGGACTTTGCAAAAAAGTGAAATATTGGCGTCACTTAAAAATGCTGGACTTCCTGCCAATGAAGACAATGCCGTTGCTATGATGCGGTTTTTGAATGCAGACACCGAAGAATCCATCTCATATGGACATTTCCGGAATTTTATGCTTCTTCTTCCTTCAGATAGACTGCAGGAAGATCCTCGGTAAGTTGGATTTTCTTATTTAAAATGCTGAGGTACATCTCATGGTCAGACTTTTTTGCCGTGTTAGTGGAGTAATTGAAGCTTAATAACTGAAAATAGTCAACATAGTCTACTAGGATAATATATTTTTTCTTGAGATAACCTCATAGAGTGCACAGTTAAAATGGTACCTGGCGTGGGATTTCTATTTTATGTACTAGACCGCTGGAAAGAAGCATCTTGTGTAAGTCGACATCTATGTATTTGGAAACAGTAAATATTGAAGTGTTGGCTGCTTTTGTGGTTTTTGATATTATATTCCAAGTGCCTTTATGCTGTGTGGAAACTCAAAATTTATGATTAACTTCTGTTTTTACGAACCCTTCATGCAACTACTGATTGCATTCTTACCGTTGATGTTATGTAAGGATACTCCTTACTACTTCTTGGAATTCAAAATACAAACACAAATACAGAAATACAAACAACTTCCAGCCAGTTCGAGAGGGCTGGTAACCTCTCCACCAAGTGCAACTGCTTACATAAAACACCAAAGATACCAACTTCCTACTAACTTCCCCTATTTATCCTCCATCCTCCTTTCTCTCTCTTCTAACCACTTAACTAACTGATAAAGTGGATTTACCCCTCCTTACCCTTCCTAACATACACATTTAAAATAGGAGGTCTAACATGTTATTTCTCCAATTTGAGTTTAAAAGAATAATAATAATAAATTTAATGGAAAGACCAACTTTCATTTAGTAGATGAATGTACAAATGGTAAAAGGTAATATACGAAACAGGCCTAGAGCTGAAAACTTACAAACAAAAAGGGACTCCGATTGTTAAGAAAAATATTGAAGAGTAATTACAATAACTGTATACGTGATTTTGTGCTTTGTCACATTTATAGGATGCCTGGACTCAAAGGTATACAGTTTTATCTTGTGTAGCTATTTTTCACTTTTCTCTTATGGTGGTCATAAAATTGGTTACATTACAGTATTTGCAGGTACCCAATGCTTTGAACTTGCTAATATTTATATTGAGCATGAGTTTAGGATTTATTTATCATTTAACAAGATATTTTACTTTTTTTAATGATGGATACAGGAGTATCTGGTTTGAAGCTGCTACTGTTGTTGCTGTTCCACCACCGGTGGAAATACCTGCTGGCAGCGTTCTAAGATCTGCATTGGCTGGAGGCCTTTCTTGTGCACTGTCTACTTCTTTAATGTTCCCAATTGATACAATTAAGGCAAATTCTTGGAACTAATTTTAACAAGTCTTGCTTAAAACTTTTACACTTGTCTTATCATGGTGTACTTTTTAAGGAAAACAATACTTTTTTAATTCTTTAGAGTTCAGACTTGCATGTTGATGGTTTGATCTGTCCCCAACAATATGCTCATTTTGACTTCATTTTTTTTTCATGGCCTTCAGACTCGCGTACAGGCATCAACGTTGACTTTCCCTGAAATCATATCCAAGCTTCCACAGGTTGGTGTGCGAGGTCTGTACCGGGGTTCAATTCCTGCCATTCTAGGACAATTTTCAAGGTTATTTTCTTTTCACAAAAGCAACATAAATTGAATAGAGTTTTTTTATGTACCATATCCATATCAAACTCTTGATCCTTTCTTTTTAATATTGTAGTCATGGTTTGCGAACTGGAATATTTGAAGCAACTAAACTTGTTTTGATAAATGTAGCTCCAACACTCCCAGACATACAGGTGATTTTTAGATTTCACTGCTTGGTTATTACTTATTTAGAAGAACCATTTGTCTTATTGAACATAATTAATAATTTTCCGAATCAAAAGGTGGACAACAAAGTGTTTACAGAAAGAAGAGAGTAAAACTAAACACTTGGGAGAGATACAACCAACCAACTATAGGCGCATTAAGTTGAGTCCAATTCCAAACTTCAGTTTTACTCCATAACTTTTCCAAAAAGATGAAAGTAGGCCAAATATCTCATTTTAGGATTCAAACCCGGACTAAAGATAGAAGGATGATAGTAGGAGACCAGGGATGGCTACTGCATCTTTTGACCGCCAGCTCAAATAGACCAAAAAATATTGACATATGACAAAAGGATCACCCTCACATGGTTATATGAGAACGAATCAAATCAGATGGTTCTCTTTTTAAAAGATTTCAGGTTCACAAGGAATCTCCCCAATCACTTTCCCTCAAGGGTCACATTGCTTCTCATATGTATACATCCCATGGCATACCTCCATAGCATCTTGATAATGAAACAGAAGATCAAATCATAAGGTAAGACCCTTTTTCCTCCATATCCCCCCAAGGAAATCCCTCACTCCCTCAGTTTCACAATGCGTTTAGCTGTCTTCAGAGGCATTTTGAACAAATGTGAATTAATAGGTAGGAGTCCCAGTTCAAGAATAATAGTTTCCCTCCTTGTCCTCTCCAGATACTTCTCTAGTCCTGATCTTTTCCATAGTTGGTTGCTTTTGATTTTTCTCATGCCCTTCGCTTACATATTTTACTTGGATCTTCACTATAAGTTGTTCAAATTTTAAAAATGGTGGGAATGACTTGCATCTTCATGTATCTGTTTGCCATGCACAACTTGCGTCCATAACATTTGATGCCTCAGTGGAGAAATTCATTTCCAATATTCACGTCTTTCTTGCTGATACAAGTTATTAACATTTACCTATCTGACGGTTGGAAAACTATGCAGTTATTTAGGTTCCTATATTTTGATTTAAATAAATCCACTATCTTGTTAGTTTATCTGGCTTGATGAACTGGCGAATTCTGTGCAAGTTATATGATATAATGCAAAGTGAGGTACCCTGCTTATACATGCTAATCCTTGGGGAATCTTACATATTTTAATGGTCCTCACGTATTGTTATGCACGGTAAAGAAATGAAGTAAACAGAGAGGTGGTTCTGGAAAATGGCATGGTTATAAGAGCTACTTCAGCATAAGCTCAAAGCTTCTCCTCAAAGATGTTTGAAAATATTAAGAACTATGATTCAATTGTTATGAAAGTTACCATGCATGCTCTTCTGCCTGAGATACACACACGTACACAGACTCATGGCCTCCAAATTTTTTCATTCAATTTAGGATGTGATCTGCAGACTGCAACCTATTACGAGATACCATGGGATCTTATACTTTATGACTTGGCATTTATTGTAGGTCCAATCCCTTGCATCGTTCTGCAGTACATTTTTGGGGACTGCGGTTCGGATTCCGTGTGAGGTTCTAAAGCAGAGGTTGCAGGCAGGACTCTTTGACAATGTAGGTCAGGCAATTCTGGGGACTTGGAACCAAGATGGCCTAAAGGGATTCTTCCGTGGGACTGGTGCCACTCTTTGTAGGGAAGTTCCATTCTATGTTGCCGGCATGGGACTTTATGCTGAATCCAAAAAGGTATGTATTTGTATCCCATCTATCAACCTCTTCTCAAAATTAAATCTTCGAATACGTTTTTCATATAGCAATCCTTTGTTGTCGTCTATTTACTGATTATTTTTCAAATCCATGGTCGAACCATATGAGATTCTTAAAAAAATGGCTTGAAAATATATCTCCACCACCACCGAATCCATCTTTCTGGGAAAATGGGACACCAACTTGGCCGATGACTCATATTAAGTCACCTTTTCTGAACTTTGTCTGCATCATTAAGCCTCCATGACACATAGGTAGTTTATACAAAGAATTTAACCTTTTTTAGGCACCTTATGCGCAAAATTGCCAAAGCCATATTTTGCACAAGGCTGCTTGTCGCATTTATTTAGTGGGAGATCAATTACAACTAAAAGTATTACACTGCATGTAAGCACAACCATCTTATATCTTCCCTAGAATTAACACAAACCCCCATTAGTTAGTTGTAACAGTTATTGAAACTCTTCTTCATTTTGTTAATTCTCTCTTGTATCAAAACAAATATTCTAGAAAAGAATGCATAGGAAGTATGCTGACAATTAGAATTTTGGAAAAGAAAAGAAAAGAATCGTTCATCAAAGAGGGGTCTAAGTTTTGGAACAGTCTTCCAAGGGCTGATATAGTTCCCTTTAGTGACGAAATAATCAGAATTTTTCTTATCGGGTTTCTTATCCCAAAAAACAAAAAAAATAAAAAAAATAAGCAATGAATCAGAATTTTCTTTCCATATATGCTGACAATTATATCATTTAAAAGTAACCACTTCTCCACTGGAAACCTCTGACAAACAAGGCTGATTCATTTTTTTAAGTTATCAACACCTAGGCCACCTTTTTCGAGAGGTAGAATCAAAATTCCCCCACTAACTAAAATTTTAATATTCTTCTCTATACCCCACCTAAATAAAATCCCTCAACTCCCGTTTTAATCCTAACACTACCCTTTGGATAGGAAAGATGAACATAAAAAGTTGGAAGGTTAGAAATTACAGCATTAGTCAATGTCAAACGTCCTCCTGAGAAAGGTTGAAGTTTTCCCATTTTTCCAAATTCCACAGCTCATCTTCAATTGGTTTCTAAAATTCCATCCTCTCTTCAGTATACCCTCCAAGCGCATACATATGTAAAACACTTGAGGAACAGCCGAAACTTGCAGGTAGAAGAAACCACTCTTTCCATATTGATATTAATTTCACAAGCAACATACTTTCCAAATTCACTTTTAAACCTAGGGCCGTTTCAAAAACCCCTACCACTTTGAAAAGGTAATCATTCTTTAATCATCCCTACAAAAGAGAATTGTATCATCGGTAAATTGATATGATTATTATTTATTTTCAAACCCCTCCAATTACATCACGCTTTCACCTTGAGTTTAGAAATGCCTTAAAACAATCACACCTATCAAAATAAAAGGGAAAGGAGAAATTAAAAGTAGATTTCCTTTCCTTAGCCCTTAAAAGCCTCCACCCTTCCTCGGCCACTGTGTTTTTCTGTATGACATGTGGGGGGAAAGTAAAAGTCACTATTAGTTAGATGGTTCTTGGGATTGACCCTGGGAACAATGAATAATCTTTTTTTTTTTTTTTAAATCCAGCTTTCATCAAGAGAAAATGAAGGAGATAAAAAAGAAAGAATTATTACATGGACGTTGTGTAGTTTATCCCTCTGTACCAAAAAAGAACTATTGGCGGTGGAGTGCGATAAAATATTCCACTAAACTTAAAGGTAAAAAATACTGGCTATTACAACAACTCTTAACAAAATCTGACATAATTAACTGAAGGAGGAAAATCTACTAAATGATTAATGGCCACCAACCAAAGGGAAGCTGGAAAAAGTAAATATGGACCATGGTTGAGGTTTCAATCTTCTATTTTAACATCTGTATAAGTTGTGCTTTGTTTTCGCATCCAATCTTCTATGTTATTTTATTTATTTATTATTATTATTTTTTGGAAAAGATCCAATCTTCTATTTTAACATCTGTAGTTTTCCTTTTAATTCATTTGGATGACATGTATTTGGAGAGAGTATTTATGGGTATTATTTGGCCATGAAAAAACAAATCACTATCTCCGGAGGGCAGTTTCATGTACTGTTGGCCAAACTTGGGTGTCTCTTTGTCCCTTCATCTGTATATTTCATTTTGCTATGAAAAATTTATGCTTTCTATCAAATGAAAAAGGAAAAAGAAAAAAAAAGTTTAAAGAACTGACAAAATGGCCAAATAATGTAAGCTGACAGCTACATTTAAATTTGAAAACATAATGCCTCTATAATTTACCCATTCGTTTAGGGAATGATGCGACTGTGTGTTTGCTCTAAATGGTGTATTGACAATTACTTTCTGTTTGTTCAAAAGGCTGTCCAGAAGCTTCTTTCGCGCGAGCTCGAGCCCTGGGAAACAATTGCGGTAGGGGCATTGTCGGGCGGGCTAGCTGCCGTTGTTACTACACCCTTCGACGTGATGAAGACAAGAATGATGACAGCTCAGGGTCGATCTGTTTCAATGTCATTTGTTTTCATTTCGATTCTTCGCCACGAGGGCCCCATCGGCCTATTCAAAGGAGCACTGCCCAGGTTCTTCTGGATTGCCCCCTTGGGTGCCATGAACTTTGCAGGCTATGAACTCGCAAGGAAAGCAATGGACAAAAACGACGAGCTTGCAGCAGCTGACCAATTGTCCCAAAAGAAAGCAGCCGCAGCTGGTTCTGCTTAAAACTCTCAACCCCTTTTTTGGATCATAAAGGCCGTGGTTTTGAGGCAAATCTTGTCCACGTAAAACCCGCACTCTCCCTCTGGGTTTTATTTTTCCTGGCTATACTGTTAAAAGGAATCACTTGGATTTTTCATCTGTCGACATCACTGCCATTTTATGTTTCTTTCAATCGAACTTTTTAGCTTTGTCATTTTTCTGGAAACATTTGAGCTTCCCTTACTCTGCCAATTTAGATTCAAATACATGTCTAATGTATTTTCCTTGAACAAGTTCAAAGTGCACATTTTTGTACATTTATGCCACCCTCCAAGCTTTTCAACTTTTACTTTGATATCAATACTGTGTACATGTAAGGTTGAAGTTCTGCTTGATTTCTCATGAATGTAACCTAAAGTAGATGATAAAGATGATTATTTTCACAATGAGGAGAAGTTTCTGTTACAGAGTGCCGTCACGACCCACCTTCCCCGTCGGTGGGGCTCGAAACTATCTTTGTCTATTTGGATCAATTCTATGATGAAATTTTTCCTGGTTTCACTTTGCTTAATCATGCAGACAGCGACAACCAAACAGGTAAATTCCCTGAATTCACTCTCTATGAATCACAGAATGATAAGAATGTTTGCTGAAATATCAATAATAACCTCATTAAAAAAATGCATTTTCCATGATAATGTACCTCGAGTTATTTGGAACTCTCGCAAAGTCATTTCAAGGAAAACCTCAGTTTCTCTAATCAATTTCGTCACCATGATTTTGATAGCAAATGCAACCAAATTGCAGAGGAACTATCTGGTTTGTTTTATTACTGACCAAACATCTGCAGCAAAACAAGTCCCGGAAGGTTTACGAAATTAAATTGTGAAACTTTTGGGTGCTTCAACCAATAATTTGCAGTCAATAGCCCCAGTAGTCGTTTCGGATTTCATCGTCGAATTTCTTCCTCAGCTCAGGGTGCTTCTCGAAGTACTCATCAGCAGTCATGGTGCTTATCTTTTTCTGGTCAGAGTTACAGGCAGTGAGAATTCATTTCTGCGAAATTGAAAATCAAATAAGCCTTTTCTTTTCTATTACCTTCATTTCCTGAACTTCAACAACCTCCTTCTCCAACCGCTCCGATTCCTTTAGGGATTTCGCTTCAGCTTCCTTCAATTCTACCAACTGCCACATCAACAATAAATGAAGCACCTAGCAGAAAGCAACACAGACGTCTACTACTAAAATATCAAAATGGTGCATACCAACGCATCAAATTTAGGTTTGTACTGCGGAGTCACTGTGTCTACAAATTTGGGGACCTCAATGCCTACAAAAGGAAGCAGGTCAACAAAAAACATAATGAATAAGAAAAGCAAGAAATGACAAGGGCATTGCTATATACTTTAACGACAACTGGGAAACATGGTTAATCTGTCGCAGACTCTTGCTGACAATGTCTGGGTCTCAATCTATGTGGGAGAGGAGGAGCTAGTTCATAGCCAACCTTATTATTTATCAAGCAAATTACATTATGAATTATGATGACAAGGTTTTGGGCCTATTAGAACAGTTCCACAAGACTTAAAAGGTTATACCCAATAAACGGCCAAATGTGTCCTGATAACAATGAAATGTTGTAAATACTTCAGTCACTGGATTTCAGTAATAGGAGAATGTGACATCCACCAAGCTAGAAGGACAATTTAAAAAAAAATTAGGGACGGTTTGATAACCATTTCGTTTTTTATTTTCTGTTTTGAAAAATTATGTTTGCTTTTTCTCGTTGGTAAGTTTTTCACATCTTTAGCCAAATCTCAAAAACAAAGCTTGTTTCAAAAGCTTATTTTTTGGTTTTCAAAATTTAACCTGAATTTTAAAATATTTAGGAGAATGCGACATCCACCCAGCTAAAAGGGCAACTTAAAAATTTAGGGGCTATTTGATAACTATCTTGTTTTTTGTTTTCTGTTTTTAAAATTATGCTTATTTTTTTTCATTAGTAAGTTTTTCACATCTTTAGCCAAATTTCAAAAACAAAACTTGTTTTGAAAGCTTATTTTTTTGGTTTTCAAAATTTAGCCTAAATTTTTAAAATATTTATAAAAACTATATAACAAAACAAAGGAACACATAGGTGTAATAAGAATATAAGTAATATTTTCTAAGCTTAATATTTAAAAACAGAAAACCAAAAATAAAATTGTTATCAAAGCCCCTTTAGTGACAAATTTACCAATGTGATCCAGCCATCTAATCCAAAAGAAACTAAAATTATACAATGTACGTGCATGATCATGGTTCCCAAAGATTTATCAGCCATGAAAAGTGGTCTTCGAAAAATCAAATTAGAGAAGCATTACAGGTAACCGTGTGCTAAAATGATAAATATCATATCACAATATTGCCTCAAAATTTTGCAGACATATCAAAGTATTAACTCTCAAATGACAAGTGAATCAGAGAGCATACTGTCATAAGCCTCTTTGTACATGTCCACCAAGCGGGACCCAATTCCCTTTCTATAATATTCCCAGTCAATGGGCTCTGGTTCCTGCAGTAGAGATAAATAATAATGTATGTCATTGAAAGTTTCAAGCACAGTCAATAAGGCAACACTTCTCACAAATGGAGTACTTTCTTTAACAAAATCCTTCCTCGTGAAAAGGAACTTCAAATATTATACCTACAGCCTCGCCGTTGAAAACACTCGTTAATGTGAACAACTTAGTGAATGATAACAGAAAAGAAAAGCACGAGATTAACGGAACGTCTTCATGAACCATCAGTTTGACTTCCAGTTGCACTTTCTTTCTTCTTCTTAATCTTACTTGACAAATAATGGGATTGATTTGAACATATAACTCCTTATAGAAGTTCTAATATCTTACTACATCTATGCTCTAGCACTCCCAGTTGCACGTTGAACTGTGTGCAACAAGTAATTCATATTTGATACAAATAGTTATGAATTGCAATTTTCATACAAAATAGACATTGCTCAACCAAGTTAACCGGTAGTATTAGGATTGGTGCAAGCCTGCAACATTGAATCATATATCTTGTTCCTATCACCTAGTGCGTGTGACAGTTTTTGGATTAAAAAAAAGTAGGAAATGTATTCTTCAAAATGAGAAACATTCTCGTTTTCTAAATACCGTTCTACTCTGAACGATCTTCCTCAAACAGCCCACCATCAAATCAACACTTGCCACTTTACGACCCACAAAAAACGAAATATTGCGATTCTCAGTCAGTAATATACCGATTAAGAATACACTAATGCCGGATTTGCATGAGATGAATACAAAATTAAACATAACCACGACTAATTTCCAAAATACGCAATTCAAATCAGAAAAATCGCGAAACATCCATCAGAGACAAAATCAAACGCACATCAACGATAATCGATTCACGAAAGCAGAGATCTAGCAACCATGAATAACATATTAATTAAAAATTGAGGATTCCCAATTTTCCGGACCTGGCTAAACTTGGTCTGGAGGGTCGAGTTAACCTCATCGAAGGCTCGGCGAAGGGTTGCGAACTCCTTGCGGGCCTCATCGGAGACCAAAAGCTTGGCCATGCCATCCCAATCGATGTTCTTGGATGCTTTGAAGGCAACATCGGCCACTTTCTTGACGGTGCCGCTCATATTTTCTCACTTTTTCTCTCGAATTCGCGGAGCAAAGCAAAATCAATGGGAACTAAGAGGGAAATGCGTAGAGAGCTCAGAAACCCAGTCTTCTACTGTTTGTCTGAGAGATGGCTGGTTCCGAATCTTAGACAACTTCTCTTGGTTTGGGCCACGGCCCATTACCTAATTTTGTGGGCTTTCTGTGAAGATCCAAATGGCTGGCCCAATATAAAAAAGGAGCCCATTAATCACCGAGGCAAATTTCATTATATAAATAATTCAAGTTTGTTTTTCATCCCACCTTAACTTAGTTTGACTAATTAAGTCATCTATCTCTAAATCAGATCACAAGTTGGCAATCTCAACATGTTGTATTAAAAAATAAATAAATAACTCATGTTTTCCCTCTTTTATCAAATGTCTAACTGAGGGAGTTTTTAAATTGCATTTGTATCTTCCGTGTCCATAATTTGTTGTCACATAACTTCAATCAATATTTTAATTGTTTCTCTTTTTTCTAGTTCAAACATCGTAGGGTGTTAGACATCAATAATTAGTAGTTCAAATATTACAAAGAGAAATACAAGTAAAGAGAAAAGAAAAAACAAACAAATAGATCATATGAACTCTTTCCGATAATATAGTTGTATAGGACAAAGTTAAAACTTTACTTGTTATCTCTATCAATCGAAACAACACAAATCTTATTAATAGGTTAGATGGAAATCATAACTATAACAAATAGTTTACTTTTTACCTCATAGACAATAATTAAACCACCTAAATCAATGACTCTTAGTTGCATTAAAATATTCTCATATTTTAAATAATCTTTATATAATTTAATGTTCGATGTCAGAACATAAAGTCGATATGTCCGAGTGGTTAAGGAGACAGACTCGAAATCTGTTGGGCTTTGCCTGCGCAGGTTCGAATCCTGCTGTCGACGATTTTTATATTATTTTCCTTGAGTTTTATTTTTATTATTATAATATATAATTTAATTACGTCATTTTTAAGTAATCCTTAGGTCGCTGGTTCGAATCCGGCAGGTCGGATATTGTTAGTTCTTTTATTTTTCTCATTATTTTTATAACCATTTAAGTATTTATATTTTAAAACTTTTTTTTCTCGTTTTGATTTATTCTGAAAGTACATTTTACTATATATTTTCAACTCTTATTTAGGTTATTTATATACTTTGAAAGGTTTATTTGTTCTTTTATTTATCACTATTATTTTTATAATTTAACCATTTGAGTATCTATATCATTTTAAACTTTTATTTATGCTAGAAAGGTTTATTTTTTCACTTTTCTTAAAAGTGGTAATTTTAATCGAGTTTTTTTTTTCACTGTATAATTTTAGAATAACATTTCACTTGATTTTAGATTAACATTTCACTAATTAATTAATTTTTAATGTATCACTTAATTTGTATTAAGGAGATTCTGTATAAAATATTTGCTAAAAGTTTGCAGATAAATACTAAATTGGTAAAAATATACTGAGGTTAAAATTAATGGTTCATATCTTTCCACAACATTCCACTTATAAAACTATGCTACATCATCATTTTATCTATAATATATAATAATTTTTATTTACTATATAGATGTGGATACATGATTTCCTATTTTTTTAATGAGTTTACATGAGTTATAAGAAAAAACTATAATAAAAATAGATGTAAGGAAAATGAAAGTTGTATCAATGATAAAGATATCTAAAGGAATCGCTAAAAAAATATTGAACATGTGGGAGGATCTAAATGTGGAGGGATACTGGGCACATACCAAAAAAGGACATCGGGGTTCATTTCGTGATCGTGTCGAATGGTATAAATGACAAGATGGTTTTGAAGTATGTTTGATGGTAGCATCAACTTACATTTCAGTACTTCTCACAAAAAATCGTCTAGAATCTATGCCCTTACCCTCCAAACAGTATGACAGCCTTTCAACTATGCTCACACTCTTAGATCTTCACGGTACCTCTTCCACCATAATATGAGATGGGAGCTGCTCCAAAAAGACTGATAGTGATGATTTGCAGACAGGTTACCTACGTCTTTGTTTATTTGTCTACCGATGCATCATTATTTCATTATTATTTTAGACGATCATATCTAATCCATTGGTAGGGACATGAGAAAACAAAATCCGAAATGATGTATTTTATTTGCTAAAATTTCGAAATGGATCAAGCATGCCATCTGAAAACATGCGAGTCTACAAAACGATGTTTTAGAATGACATAAAACAAAATCAACTAAATAAAAAGTAATTTATCCGTACTGAAAAGAAAAGGTGATTTATCTCATAAGAAAATCACACTCATCGACAGCCCGAATTCAAAATGACGAAGCCTCGCGCGGAAATTTGCCCTCCTTTCCCTCCTTCAGTATCTCGTATCTTCAGAATTCCCCAACAAGCTTCCGTTTTGCTCTCCTAAACCTCGAATCCATCGAAATGGAGCGGCAGAGGTTGCCGGTCGTCTGTCCGGAGAACGAAGACCTTGCCGGGTTCATGTGGCAGAAGCGGCTGGAAATGGCGGCGACACCCAAAGGAATTTCGGAGAGAGTCGAGATGACTCTGTACAAAGCTTATTTCAATGTCTGCAACTCCAAGGCATCCATCAAATCCATGAAGGATCTCTCCCAGATTAAGTAATTTTTGCTTCGCCTCACTGTTTCCGTATGTGGGTGTTCTTTAATTTGTGAGGTGGGGTTGTTTTTAGAAAATAAAACCATTACTGAAGTTTGCCAGTGTCGAATTGAAGATGATTTATGAGACTTTTCGATGTTATTTTTCAAAATCTTAAAGGGTTATCCCGAATAATGATTTATTTAGTTGGGGGAGCGACGTAGGTGAAAGAGTTGTACTTTTCTTCTTCTTCTTCTTTGTCTTAATTTTTAGTATGTTAGTATGCTAGAGAAGTTACAGATTGTTTTTCGTTCTTTGAATGCACTGTTACACTAGCGTGTGACTTCTGCTCTCTCTTTTGAAGAATTGATGTTCTTCTGTCACAGAGGTGTTGGAAAATGGATTCTTAAGCAAGTACAAGATTTCTTTAAGAGTGGTTCTGAAGACTCTGAACCTGCAGACTTGGCGGGGAAAGGTACTCCATACAAACTCGGAGTTCTAAGCTTTTATTGCTTGTGATAGAAAGAAGTGTTTATTTACATTTATTTTTATTGTCTTTTCATTGTTCATGTTTGTTCATTTAGGTAAGAAAAAAAAGGGAACCAAACGCTATGTTCCACAGAAGAACTCAGTTGCTTACACTTTATTGATTACTCTTTATAGGTATAGTGCACAAATTGTGATATTTTTTATTGAATTCTTATTTAAATTTATGCATAATGTACGTTTCATTATTAGGGGTACAACAAATGGGAATGAATATATGCGTAAACAGGAGCTTATTGATGCAGCCGAAGCAAGTGGTCTTTCTAGGGTGCCAATTGCGTAAGTTAACTCCTCTATTCTTCCTTATGTTTTACATTTCATCATTTGATCGGTGGAGTGTTATGCGTCCTCAGGCCAGAAAAAGGTAAAGGGAAACCAGCGCAATTTGGAAGCTCTCCAAGGGATTGGTACAGTGGATGGAGCTGCATGAAGACATTGATATCTAGGGGATTAGTGGTGAAATCTAGTTGCCCAGCTAAGTATGGTGGCTTGGTCTGATCATATATATATATATATATATATATATATATATTTGCATTGCCACTTTTCCCGCTCTAATTCTTCTAGAATGATTTTCTCTTCATGTCATCATGATCTCATTGTTTGTGTTGATTGAAACTGACGGTTGTAGGCTGCTCTATTGTTTACTTAGGAGTAAGTAATGTGCAAGGTTCATCTGACCTAAGTGAAACGTTAAAATGTGTGATGGCACATATTTTGTATTCTTTTCTTTTAGTGGAAGTTATTTTATTCTTGAACATTTTTATATACAGTCTGTTTCTGCAAGAACAGAAGTCTTACTTTATGCCTTTGTGTTTAATTATTAATGAATGCAAATGTATATTTGGCTATACATGTAGTTTCTCTTGCATTGACCAAAGCATGTGATAGCTTCAGCTTGCTTCATGGGCTGCGTTAGCCTGTTCTGATCAATAAAGAATTCTTTACCTTCAGAAATTGGAACATGGAATATGGGCTCAGGATATAGATAAATATTCTGCAAGTATGCAGTTGCACAATTCTAAGTTATTTGGGAAAAACTATTAGCAGCCTTAAAGATTAATCCTGCAGAGCTTTGAGGGAAATATATGATGAGAATTATCTTGCACTAGAATATCACATCTATTGTGCTAAAATTTACAACTTAAGATTTCATGAATGCTATTAGGAGTTCTGTTCAACGCTGAGAACAATGTTATATGTGGATTATTTCTTATAGAATTAAAACAAGAAATCAACATTTGGTCCTTTTTGTAATTTAAATTTTGTTTTCTTGTCATAGCCATTTTGAAGAATATTAAAGATTATGGCCATTCTTCCATGTTCTATCATTTGTGAGTACATGGTAATATTTTTGTTTTCACAGATACATGCCAACAGAAGAGGGGAAACAAGTTGCACGTGAATGTCTTGAGAGATCTGGATTGTCAAATTCTACTATGAATTTTGATAATGACAAGGGATCCTCTATTCTTAAATCATGTGATATATCCGATCATAGTGTTGATTGTCTTGATTCAGAAGTAGAAGTGACTTCACCATGTGCTGGTGTGAGTAGACAAAATAAATCAATCAACGTTCCTCCTGAATCACTTCAGAGGGTAATGCAAAGCTTTAAACGTCACTTTTTTCATTAGTGAAAATTCACTTTGACATAATTTATTACTTATGCAATATGAAATTTGAGTATCCGCAATTATGTTCATGTATTACCTATGGCACTAGGGCTGCATAATTGGTACACCTCTTTAACTATTGTAGTTTGATCTCCATTTTGTTCTACACCCAAGGCCTCAAGTCCTAGCCAACAGGCCACCCCTTGTGGGCAATTCACCATCTCATTTTTGTATTTTTAATCTATTCCTGCAACTTTTTTTTTTTGTTTTTTGTTTTTTCAGTTTATGCGAATGGGCTACTCCAAGAATCAAGTTCTTGATGCCTTTAAAGAAGTTTCAGAGGATAACCCAAACAAGGATATCTCATCACTTTGGCCAGCAGTATTATGTCGTCTTCGTGAAGATCATGTTTATGGTTTGGTTTTTATAACTCTTTGTAGGGAGGATATTGGAAGACATTAGATAACCTTTTTTTTTTGTTAATTTTTATATGAAACAGATACTTAGAAACACAAAAAAGGGGTAACAGCCTAAGGGTTGGAGTAATCATTTTCCTTTTTATTGTAACATACTGATCACTAGATTGATAAGTTGTATATATATTCAGGTCAAGTAGAAGCAGTTGGAAGAGAAAATAGATTCTTGGGCTCTTCTTCTTATGAGGGGCATATGCGAAAGACTGCTGTTATTGATAATGTAGAGAGATCTTTTACCTTGAGATCTTGTTCATCATCTGTAAGTGGATATTCTAGCAAGTGATCCCCCCGTTCCTTGTTTCTTATTTTTGCAATGAGTTTATTATTATATTATGAAGGATCAGTGAAGCCTTATAGTATTTTGTATTTTTAGGATCATGCTATCACTGAATCCTCTAGAGATTGTGTCAAAGCAAATATGAACATCTTGAGCATGCCACCTTTGAGCTTTGGTGAGAAATTTGAAGATGCATATAAAGTAGTATTGATATTGGATGATCGAGAACAGTTTGTGAACCAGAGGTAAGTCATTTTGATATATAAAATAACATACCAATTTGGTGGATTTTATTTTATAATTTAAAGTTTAAAACACATTTCTTGAAATTTGGGGTTTGCACTTTTTTTTTTTTACACTTCTTGACTAAACTATAGCTGTGTTGCACCTTAGTGCATTTCTGGTTTTAACAATCAATTCTCATGTCTTAGCTTGGACTTTGTCCTTTTTGTTCGTATTTATTGCACTTCTAAACTATGTACATCTTTGTGGTTTTCTAGTTCTCGGTCGAGGAGAATGATTGAGAATATCTGTAGCCAATTTAAGATCCAAATTGAGGTAACTTTGTTCTGTTCTTCTGTAAAAGTTTCTTCTTCATAATGCATTGCCATGTATTAGGTTCTCAAATAATAATTTTATACTTATTAAGAGTTTGCCTTCAACAAGTGCGTGTTCAGCACTTTTGATTAACTTCCTTTCTGAATAATGCTATATTTTCTATAATGAACTTGGATAAAATGATTTTATTTGACATATAACAGTGATGATCCACTATTCGACACAGAACATGTTGTCCACAATCAGACATGACTTTTTAAAATACGTGTTTTAGCATTTGCATGCATTTAAATTACAGGGATATTATCAGTGCCCCTCTGTTTATTCTTATCAGCAGTTCTTCTAGTTCCATGATTAACAATTTACTTGGTTATGACTGAATTACACGATGTCTTCAGATTAGGAGGCTACCTGTTGGTGACGGAATCTGGATAGCTCGCCATAAACATCTTGATAATGAATATGTTCTTGATTTTATTGTTGAGAGGAAAAATATTGATGATTTGCGGTGCTCAATTAGGGACAATCGCTATAAAGACCAAAAATTGAAACTCTTGGTAACTTTTTAACTTAGTTCATATTCTTTTGTTTCTCTCTTGTGGCAGTTGCATTCTATCAATTAATGAAATGTGTTTTTATCTTTTATATTAATTGATAAATCTTCAATATTGATATGCTATGGACTTACTAAAAAATATGCTTGTAGAACCTCACTACTTCCGTTCCAAATGGGTTTTTGTTATTAATATGTTTGTTCCGGTTCCTATAGGTTTAGCTACCAGCTCTTGGTCCCCCTCCCCAATGTATCCTCGCATTTATACCTGCATTCTTCTCAATGGAGTTTGGTTCTTATTTATTTAAAAATGAAAAAGAAAAGCAAAAACTGTAGCAGCACTTCTACTGTTGTTTTTATGTTGCCGCCAATTGATTTTCTGCTAGATAGATTATGTTTCAAAGTCAAAATTTTCTGGGCATTACAAGGGTATATCATGCATGCTCGTGTGATCCTCAAAACTGACAAGGCGTGGTTGAAAATTGGTAGTAAATGTTGAGCTAATCGAGCTTAAATGCTAAACTCCATTTGTTAGTATTATCATTTATCAGAATATTAAGGGCAGGTTACTGTAAGGTTGCAGATCTTTGCAAATTAATTTATGCTTTGTTGTTAGTTTCTAACTAATTAAGGCTTCTTGCTGTATCTCATCAGAGATGCGGGCTTAAGAAGATGATATATCTGGTGGAAGGTGATCCCAATTCATCTGAAGCGGCAGAAAGCATCAAAACAGCGTAAGTGTAGCTCTGTTTTATTATTACGAGTCTATGACAATTGACAAGCATTAAAAAATTTTAGGTGCTTTGTTCCCTATGATTTTTGAGTAAGTTGACTCAATTGCAATGAACACTGAACTCCATGTTATATTTGTGATCTCTAGATTACGTATAAGTAGGGGTTAATGTTACTAGTAATTTTTTTTTTTAAATGGAAAATCAAACTTTCATTGAGGCAAATAGAATACAGGTGGACGATACAAGAAAGAAAAATGCATACCTGTACAATCATGCGGTTGGTTCACAACTTCACATTGTGTGTCTTTTTTTTTAGATAAGAAACATTTTATAGATAGAAGGCACAGAGCCACAAAAAAACAGCCTAAGGGCAGGGGGAAGAGGGCTCCTCCTCCCACGAACTAATGAAGAAAAGCTCTCCAATCTTGCAAAATCGATGAGAGGCTGTAATTACAAAATAGTTTTCTATGCCTATAACACCACCAAGAAGTGTGTAACTGAATTGTATTACAAAAGTTTTCAAAAGAAGAAGAATTTTCCTAAAAAATTCTATTGTTTCTTTCCATCCAAAGATTCCAAAAGAGGGCTCTAGCTGCACAATTCCACAAAATTTTGGCTTTTCCTTTGAACTGCCAACCCCGCAGAGCTTCATTCATCCACCCTTCAACATTCTGAGGCATGCAACTGGAGTATCCAAAGATTTGAAGAAGAAAAGACCACCCTCGGA